AATGCGTAAACTCGATTCTCAACTTTTCCTATGCACTGAAAATGTCCTTTTTTTTCTTATATTACGCTATGACACGAGTTTGTTTCCTAAGATCAATGAAAACATATCACTGTCCTTAGCTCCTGTCAGTCACTCAACAAGGAGTGTTGCGGCCATCATATATTTGAAATTAAATATATCCCATTGACATTTCAGTAATTGCATCTCCTGGAGAAGACAATTGATTAACTATCAAATATAACTGAAGTTTGTTTCGTGTGAGGTAACATGATCTCTGGCTCACTAACTACTGCCTCATCAACACTTGTTTTAGCGTCCACCAGAAGCATTACCCTGAACTATCTCTCACACACTTCCGTCACTCGCCATGACCCTTCCTGGACACCACACAGCAAATCCGGCCTTCTTGAACATGTGACAGATGCTTAAATATACATTTTCCTTGTGGTAGAAGGAGCTGAGACCCTCACGTGGCAGCTGCTGCTGCAGAAACTGACTAACGGGTTTCCCTTATCTTCCCTTATCTTTCCCAAACACTAAATGGATTGATAGTGATGCTGCGGCCTCGCACACCTCTACTCAATGATCATACTCTAATGTCACAACGAATATAAATAAATGAACAGTCCAAAAATTGTTATCATTGTGGGACGAGGTGGATGTCGATATATACTAAGAAAGGCGAAGAGAAAAAAAAAAGGTTAGCTGTGTTCGTCATGACCAGCAATGTAAATGTTGAGGTATAACAAGTGAAAGAACTAGCAAGCAATCAATGCTTCACAGTTATCTTATCATTACTTAGTAATCGCTTTGCGGGATTCCTAGAAACTCTATCATTAGTGTGGACTAGCAGAACTGTACTCTAGCTGTTCAATTACTGCTAGTGGCTTGCTTGTAGGATCTCTGTCACTCAGGATTGAATCCGGGACCTTTGGCTATAAGCTGAACACGCTGTCACCAAGGGAAAAGGCACTTAACTAACGCTACTCAAATAAGTTCATTAAATACATGCTCTCGCCTGCCTCCATAGCTCAGTGGATAGAGCGCTGGTCTAGTAAACCAGAGGCCAGGAGTTCGATCCTCCTTGGAGGCAGAGGATTTCTGTATTAGGCAGTGTTTTACTAGTGTAGGATCGACCCTCACTACCTGGTCCATCAGCTCCCTAAAGGGGTTCGTATCTTACAAGCCTTGCAGTGGGATGCAAAAGAAAAAAGAAAAAAAAAAAGTTTCCGAAAATGTCAATGCACTCTTCAGAGTTAATTGAGGCAAGACACCTCATTGTTCGGAATAATGTGACATCGTGTGTGATGGTGCCTCGGTATGGTTATAACTATGACAATAGTTTTTAAAGGGGTGGACCGGTAAGCCAGCGGAAGGCCTCGGTCAAATGACCAGAAGCTCCAACGGCGGGCCTTTTAAGACCAGCGTCAGGAAACACTTGTCTTGTTTCCTGACGAACCTAACCTAATCTAACCTATGAAAATCCAAGAATCCGTGGGTAACATTGATAATGGGATGGGTAAATATTTTTTTTAGTGGGTCTGGGTTTGACAAGGACCTGCCAAGTATGGGCCGGTAGGCCTGCTGTAGTGTTCCTCCTTTCTTATGTTCCTATGTTCAGGTCTACTGGAAGGGTTCACAGGTTCAATATCTCAGCTAACGCAGTGAAATCACTGCAACCAGCGTATTGACATTATTGTGTAAATAACGTTACTTCTTGCTTTAACCTAGTAAAATGTCGTATATGTCAGGGTAACCAGTGAAAAATAATGTTGTTCCGACGAGTAAACTGCGAGGAGAGGAAACATTTTTTTTAAGTTTAATATCTTTAAATACCCATCCTGTGGACGGCAGTCAAAAGATCACAGAGGTACATAATGGGGTCCAGTGACTGGGCCACAAAGTTTTGATAGCTGAATAAGTTACAATGGTTCACCTGGAGAGGGTTTCCGGGGTCAACGCCCCCTACGGCCCGGTCTGAGACCAGACCTCGTGGTAATGAACTATTTGCGTGTTTATATCTGGTTACAATCGTAATGAGTTATTATACAAACATGAATTAGAAAGGAAGATTGTGAATCTAGCGAGGTTCTACAACCAGGTGACTAGTCAGCCAATTTGTACTTGTCAGCCATATTGGACGTTCAGTCGCAGGAAGAAATGTCGATAAGAATATGCGATAAAGTTACGACAATCTCAAGTGTGTGAAAATTTATGTTCTCGAAAATTGTTTAGAGGCATTTCTGAACACTGTCAAGTAAAGTTAGTCATCTTCAGGACAAAAACATCTTGGAAGATATCTACAGGAAAGGTTGCATTACTTCTGACTTCACACCTCATGTACCTGCAAGGCTCACTTCACTTGCTGAGGTTTGCTCCAACGGAACAGTCATGTTATTGGGAATCTGAAGTCAGCCACGTCCAGAACAAACTGGTTTGGCCTAACCAGAGAAAGAACTTTTTGATAGGCTGTAAAACTAACTTTTAGACCCATGCCAAGAAACAACATTCCAGTTCATTGCCAGTTAATAATTCAGTAAGAGCAAAAACACTTTGTCTACAATTACTTCAGGAGTCGAGAAACTGTAGGAATCTCTCAGTACGTCAGGTGTTAACCGAGCGTTGCTGTGTTCCCAGAATATTACAAGGACTACACAGTTTGAGCTGATACTTTGACAGCTCTATACTGACTTCAAAAGTCATGACCTAATTGCTAAAAGGCATCACTGTTTTCGGAACTCCAAGTGAAACTAGTACAATAAGAAATTCCTATATTATTATTATTATTATTATTATTATTAGTAATAGTAGTAGTAGTAGTAGTAGTAGTTGTTGTGGTGGTGGTAGTAGAAATAGGGCTATCATTTTCACCTGCCCCTCTCTTCCCTGTCCAGTATCTTGTACGTCGTAATCATGTTTCCCCTGGTTCTCATTCCTAAGGTCGTTCCTCTAGTTTCTACTTATAACTCAATCCCCTCAGCTCCGATATTAGTCACGTTGTAAATCTCTAGCCCTTCTCAAGTTTTAAAGTATGTTTGTCCAGGTGTGGTCTCTGTTGATGTTGCAAAATTCCATCTGAACTTCTGCTGCCTCCAAGGAGGATCGAACTCCTGGCCTCTGGTTTACTAGACCAGCGCTCTAGCCACTGAGCTATGGAGGCAGGTGTGATGACCTCGTGTAAGCATGTTGACCTGGTGTAGGCATGTTGACCTGGTGTAAGCATGTTAACCTGGTGTGACATGTTGACCTGGTGTAAGCATGTTGACCTGGTGTAAGCATGTTGACCTGGTGTAAGCATGTTGACCAGGTGTAAGCAAGTTGACCTGGTGTAAGCATGTTGACCTGGTGTAAGCATGTTGACCTAGTGTAAGCATGTTTACCTGGTGTAAGCATGTTGACCTGGTGTAGTCATGTTGACCTGGTGTAGTCATGTTGACCTGGTGTAAGCATGTTGACCTGGTGTAGGCATGTTGACCTGGTGTAGTCATGTTTACCTGGTGTAGTCATGTTGACCTGGTGTAGTCATGCTGACCTGGTGTAAGCATGTTGACCTGGTGTAAGCATGTTGACCTGGTGTAAGCATGTTGACCTGGTGTAGTCATGCTGACCTGGTGTAGTCATGCTGACCTGGTGTAAGCATGTTGACCTGGTGTAAGCATGTTGACCTGGTGTAAGCATGTTGACCTGGTGTAGTCATGCTGACCTGGTGCAGGTGTGTTACTGTGCTTGATTTTACTGAGTTATTTTCATTAACTCTCCATAAAGTAATTTTTGTATCCATAACATGTGTTTGCCCTCAAGCCTATTGTAAAAAAAATAATATGCTCCAGAAGCTTCACCCCTCAAGGAAGGTTCCTTGATGTTGGTGAGGGGCTCTTGATTTAGGGAATTGGGTCTGTGCTCCAGTTCCCCGAATTAAGCCTGAATGTCTTCCACATCCCCCCCTAGACGCTGTATAATCCTCCGGGTTTAGCGCTTCCCCTTGATTATGATAAGAATAATCCAGAAGCTTCAATAAAAATTACATATTCACTTATTCTCTAAACACTGACTAAGCTTACTTAGAGAACAGTTGAGATTGATTTTGGTGTGTGTACCTGGAGGTTACCTGGAGGTTATTCCGGGGATCAACGCCCCCGCGGCCCGGTCCATGACCAGGCCTCCCGATGGATCAGGGCCTGATCAACCAGGCTGTTACTGCTGGCCGCACGCAGTCCGACGTATGAGCCACAGTCCGGCTGATCCGGCACTGACTTTAGGTATCTGTCCAGCTCTCTCTTGAAGGCAGCCAGGGGTTTATTGGCAATTCCCCTAATGCTTGATGGGAGGCTGTTGAACAGTTTTGGGCCCCAGACACTTATGGTGTTTTCTCTTAGTGTACCAATGGCGCCCCTAGTTTTTATTGGGGGCATTTTGCATCGCCTGCCCAGTCTTTTACTTTCGTAGGGAGTGATTTCTGTGTGCAGATTTGGGACCATTCCTTCCAAGATTTTCCAAGTGTAGATTATGATATATCTCTCCCTCCTGCGTTCCCACGAGTACAAGTCAAGTTTACCTTTTTTCAGTGAAAGAAATTGGGCAAACTGAAATAAGATTTTTTATGCCATAATTTATGCATGCCTCATCCAATTGGCTTTGACACCTCAACGCAGAAAACTGTGTAACGCAACTTCCGAGCGGCTTCAAACTTAATGTGCCGGTGTATTTCAGAACACTGATCTCTCTGATGCACGAGAATATCTCTCAGTTTTGGTTTCAAATATGGTGCTTCTGAGGTGACGATATGAATTAGTTTCGGGCTCAGTATGTCCTAATTTGCCCTTTTTTGAATTTGGTTATGCCTCTTATGATTAACTTGAGATCTTCACGGCTAATATTTAACTGCATTACAGACTTAGGTCACATTGGTCACATGAAACAGGTAGAGGGGGCTGAGGTTATGTAATACAGGGATACCTTCCTCGTACCGTGAAGCGACTCAAATACATCAAAATAATGATGATAATAATAATAATCATCATTATTTCTACAAGTACATGATACAACTTATACAGACCATAGCTCACATCAGGAAGAGGCCTTCATTTATGAGGCTAGAGAAACAGAGGCGAATGATTTCTTGTATGGCCAATATACATGTACCTATTACCGTATGATTCGTGTACCTATTACTGTCTCCCTGGAGGGTGTTCTGGGGGGTCAATGCCCCCGAGGCCCAGCCCTTGACCAGACCTTCTGGTGGATCAGGACCTGATTAACCAGGTTGTTACTGCCGGCAGCACGTAGTACAACGTACGAACTACGGCCTGGCTAGTCAGGTACTGACTTTAGGTATCTGTCCAGCTCCCCAGGCGACCCACACCAGTCGACTAACACCCAGGTACCTACTTACTACTAGGTGAACAGGGACAGCAGGTGTCTTAAGGAAACACGTTTAGATGGTTCCAACCGTACCGGGAATCGAACCACGGACCTTAATGTGTAAGCCGAGTGTCCAATTATTATTATTATTACATTCCACAGTATAGCCAGGTCTTGTGACACGACTAATAAGAAAGTTATCTTAATTATCTTGTGAGTGTTGTTGTTCGTCTCTGGTACACTCACACACAAAGACTCATGTGATAACTTGGATGTGTTGAGCGTCACCGATAACAAGGATGAGCACCCGGGCTGATAAGATAACTTGACGAAGGAGGGACGGGGGTGGTAGCTGGCTTGTTAACGATTCTTGAGACATGAACGACACCTCACCCACGAGAGACAACGACACCTCAGCTATGAGAAAATGACATTTCCGCCATTGAGGTCCGTGGTTCGATTTTTTAATTTATCGGTACTGGTGGAAACATTACCTGGAGGTTATTCCGGGGATCAACGCCCCCGCGGCCCGGTCCACGACGAGGCCTCCCGGTGAATCAGGGCCTGATTCACCAGGCTGTTACTGCTGGCCGCACGTAGTCCAACGTACGAACCACAGCCCGGCTGATCCGGCACTGACTTTAGGTATCTGTCCAGCTCTCTCTTGAAGGCAGCCAGGGGTTTATTGGTAATTTCCCTTATGCTTGGTGGGAGGCTGTTGAACAGTCATGGGCCCCAGACACTTATGGTGTTTTCTCTTAGTGTACCAATGGCGCCCCTACTTTTTATTGGGGGTATTTTGCATCGCCTGCCCAGTCTTTTACTTTCGTAGGGAGTGATTTCTGTGTGCATACCTGCTATCCATGTTCACCTAGCAGTAAAATAGGCACCTAGGTGTTAGTCGACTGGTGTAGATCGCATCCTGGGGACAATGACACCTCAGCTATGAGACAACGACACCTCAGCCATGAGAGACAGTGACACCTTAGCCATGAGAAACAGATAACACCTCAGCCATGACAGAGAACGCCTCAGTCATGAGAGAGAGAGCGACACCTCAGCCATTAGAGACAACGACACCTCTGCCATGAGAGACAACGACACCTCAGCCATGAGAAACAGATAACACCTCAGCCATGACGGAGAACACCTCAGTCATGAGAGAGAGCGACACCTCAGTCATGAGAGACAACGACACCTCAGCCATGAGAAACAAATAACACCTCAGCCATGACAGAGAACACCTCAGTCATGAGAGAGAGCGACACCTCAGTCATGAGAGACAGCGACACCTCAGCCATGAGAGACAGCGACACCTCAGCCATGAGAGACAGTGACACCTCAGCCATGAGAAACAGATAACACCTCAGCCATGACAGAGAACACCTCAGTCATGAGAGACAACGACACCTCAGCCATGAGAAACAGATAACACCTCAGTCATGACAGAGAACACCTCAGTCATGAGAGACAACGACACCTCAGTCATGAGAGACAGCGACACCTCAGCCATGAGAGACAGCGACACCTCAGCCATGAGAGACAGCGACACCTCAGCCATGAGAAACAGATAACACCTCAGTCATGACAGAGAACACCTCAGTCATGAGAGACAGCGACACCTCAGCCATGAGAGACAGCGACACCTCAGCCATGAGAGACAGCGACACCTCAGCCATGAGAGACAGCGACACCTTAGCCATGAGAAACATAACCTCAGCCATGACAGAGAACACCTCAGTCATGAGAGACAGCGACACCTCAGCCATGAGAAACGTAACACCTCAGCCATGACAGAGAACACCTCAGTCATGAGAGACAGCGGCACCTCAGCCATGAGAGGCAACGACACTTCAGCCATGAGAAACAGATAACACCTCAGCCATGAGTGAAATAACTCTCTCCAGTAAAGCAAGGACACACTCAATAGCTCGGGTGGTAGCGTACTCAGCTCACCCATTAAGTGTAGTAGTGTTCCTCCTTTCTTATGTGTTTCCTTAAGACACCTTTTCGTCCCAGTTCAACTAGCAGGAAGTAGGTACCGGGGTGTTAGTCGACTGGTGTGGGTCGCATCCTGGGGACAAAATTAACCTAAATTGCCGGAAATGCTCAGCATAACCAGGGGCTTTCTGTATAGTATATCATTGACGTCAGCTATGGTCTGTATACGTTATATCATATATTTGTAGAAACAGAGTATTATTATTTAATAATAATTATTATTCTTTTGTTACTTATTTAGTACTTGCTTACTTAGTTACTTTTATGGGTTATTGTAGGTAATTTGCATTATGTATGATAATTGTACTAATGTGTACCTGTACTCGCCTAGTTGTGGTTGCGGGGGTCGAGTCACAGCTCCTGGCCCCGCCTCTTCACCTGGCCGCTACCCGGTCACTCTTCCCGCTCCGTGAGCTTTATCATACCTCTTCCTAAAGCTATGTATGGATCCTGCCTCCACTACATCACTACCCAAGCTATTCCACTTCCTGACAACTCTGTGACTCTCAAAATAAACTTAATTGTGTAGTTATGGCACGACAAGTGTGAGGCACGACAATAAGTGTAAGACATGTGAGAAGTTGTGCTTTTGCTGCTGTGTCAAGGTAAACAGCAGTCAGTGAGCCAGTCAGCTGGCTGCTGCTGCTGCTGCTGTAGCAACCATAGCAACAGCTGGTGGTGGTGATCCTCCTCACATGCTGCCACCTTGCAGTCACAGCTGGTGAGTCGTACCACCCAGCATCACCACCTGTCCTCCACCACCTGTCTCCCGCTGCCTCAACACGTTGCATGAAACTCTTCCCCCAAAAATGACAAATGCGAGACATTGTTGACTGTCACTTGTGTGTCAAGGTTGCCTTAACTTGTTTGTTGCAGTGATAATTTATGTATTCGTACTGGGGAGGGGATTTTCCATGTTCATTTTCACCTTGAGTATTGATCAGAGGTTCAAATATGATATCACAGTAACCCAATTGGAAATAGCCACTTTGACCCTCTTTTTTTTTTGTGTGTGTGGGGGGGGGGGGGTGTTATCCTAGGTAATTTATACATGTGTTACTATGTATGATAATTTATGTAACTTTATGTATACTTACACAGGAATACACGTGTCCTGCCGAGTGAAAGTTGCAAGAAATTTATGTTAATATTTTGGTGCTCATTGGTCACTTTTTTATGAGTAGTGCCATAAGTGGCTCTGAGTGCCTCGTGTGTGTCTCATACTGCAGAATATTGTTATATTAGTGGCTTAAGTTTATTTAGACACGGTACACATAAGTACAATTATCATACGTGGAGAATATTACCCACCAGAATAACCCAGAAAAAAGTGTCTGACATTATTTTCCATTGGGAGGGGGTCCTTGTAATATATTTTTAATCCTTAAAATGAATAAGACACTCGTGCAACACTTTGGGTATCGTCGTAATTGAAACTTCGCCCACAAGTGACTATATCAATCCAATACAGAAGGGAAGTAACGTGGAAAATATATAAAAATTGACAAATCTGTGCATATCAGAGAAATTCTCTCCCCCAGGAAGGTATTGCTAACCAGCAGACTTTTTGCATATATAAATGGGGAGAAATCAGAACTGAGATTAATCACAAGTGGCGTCCCACAGAGGTGAGTCTTGAGACCTTTCTTCTAAATTTATATAAGTTAATAAAGTTTATCTTGGCACAGGTACACACAGGTACAGTTATCATACATAGTGATATATGTGTACATTATACCCTCCAGGATAACCTAGGAAAGTCAAAGTGACCTATTTCCATTGGGGTCCTTGTACTTGCTTCCATTGGGATCCTTGTACTTACTTCCATTGGGATCCTTTTATTATTTCCATTGGGTTCCTTGTACTTACTTCCATTGGGATCCTTGTACTTACTTCCATTGGGATCCTTTTATTATTTCCATTGGGGTCCTTGTACTTACTTCCATTGGGATCCTTGTACTTACTTCCATTGGGATCCTTTTATTATTTCCATTGGGATCCTTTTATTATTTCCATTGGGATCCTTGTACTTACTTCCATTGGGATCCTTTTATTATTTCCGTTGGGTTCCTTGTATATATTTCCACTGGGGTCCTTGGTGAAGGAATAGTGACAAAATTAAGTAGTTAAGTAAGTTTATTTAAGTACAGGTACACATAAGTACAGTTACACAAATTTAGGTTATTACAATTCAAAAACTTGAAAAATCTCTCAAAAACTCAAAAAAAAAAAAAAAAATCATACACTGTAACATGTGTGTAAATTAAATAGGATGATACAAACATAGGCAGACACATTCTGGGGACATGAGGGAGCACCTCAGGGTGAATTGAAGAAGTTAATGTTAAAATGTTAGATTTATTTATTTATTTATTTATTTATTTATTTATTAATTTGAACATGATACAGTGAAGTACAAAGTTATTACAGTGCAACATGCCAAAGCCCCTTGTATGCAGAGCATAATGAACAGGCTTAAAATTAACTTAAGATTAACTAAGCAATGATATATTCAGTGGTAAATACATTATTGTAAACAGATAACAATTTAGCACAAATGAGTATTACAAAGACAGGTCATATGGTTATTTACTGTGTTGCAGAGCATTCAGTAGATTGGAGTATTCTGTTAGGTAATGTAATTAAAAAATAACAAAGTTTGATTGGGTCACAGGTTAGACATTTATGAGATACAATAATGAGAAACATTTACGAGATACAATTTATGCGATACAATTATTCAGTATTTATTTAGTTGTGGGTGAGTAAGTGATTTTTGAGAAGAGACTTGAATTTATAAACAGACAGTGTTTCTTTTATATTCACAGGTAATGAATTCCAGATTTTAGGGCCTTTTATGTGCATTGAGTTTTTGCATAGCGTGAGATGGACTCGAGGAACATCAAAGAGTGATCTGTGCCTTGTGTTATGGCCGTGTGTTCTGTTGAGGTTGGTAAGGAGACGTTTGAAGGGAGGGTTTATATCAGAATTAAGTGTTCTATGAATGTAGTAGGTGCAGTAATAAGTATGGATGTTTTAAATGGTGAGTAGGTTTAGAGTTGTGAATATTGGTGGAGTATGCTGCCTGTATTGGGAATTTGTTATCATTCTGACTGCAGCCTTTTGTTGGGTAATTAATGGTCTGAGATGGTTTATTGTTGTTGAGCCCCATGCACAAATTCCATAGGTGAGATAGGGGTAAATAAGCGAGTGATATAGGGCCAGGAGGGCTGACTGTGGAACATAGTACCGTATCTTCAATAGTATGTTCATTGTGAACAAATGTTCATTAAGTTGCATTCCTGGTAAAAATGAAATGAGTGCAGAACTTACAAACCAAATAATATAAACCTAATCAAATCAGATGCAAAAAACACTGGAGTTCTGGTTAGCCAAAATTATTATTATTATTATTATTATTATTATTATTATTATTATTATTATTATGATTATTATTATTATTATTATTATGATTATTATTATTATTATTATCATTATTATTATAAGCATTGTTGAGAAGTATAAAAAAATATTTTTTTTTTTTTTTTTTTTTTTTTTTTTTTTTTTTTTGGTTTTTGCTGGTCAGGAGGATATGTTGAATGTAACATCCTCGTTTGTGGAATCATCAGTATTCTCAGTGTCTCTATTATCTTGTTCAGTTCCATGGCCATCTGGATCCACAAACTACAAAATTTTTACAGTCCTTAGTGAGACCACCGGATAAACTCACAACTAGGGTTGTGCCAAAGTATCATTATCAGTACTGGCAGGTTTTGGCTAATTTTGGAGGTATTGGTATTTGCTTAAAAGTGAGTCATGGTATTGGTGGGTATTGGCAATTTTGGTATTAGTATCTTCCAAAAACTAGTATCAGTATTGACAAAAGTTTTGGCACTAATACTCATAACCATTTCCTCTTTTTTATTACACCCTTCAACTTATTCCTTCAAACTTTTAAAGAATCCCTTGGCCTATATTATATTTTTGTTCTTTCTGTTCTCTACTTCTTGAAGGTTCCTATGGTCCAAGACTGCCATTCCTCTTGTTATTTAACAAAGTTTCAGGTGTCAACTTTGAACATGTGCTCGATCTTTCTTTGTCATTTCCACTCACTGATGCTGCTGCTGCTGTGTACTATACACAGATGTCTGCAAGTCTTCTCTAAGGCAGTGTTAAACCAGGCTTATCTTTATATTCATATCTTTCAGATTGTAATGGACAAACATGGAGAAGGCCCATCTCTTGGAGATTGTGAGATGATATTTGGTGATGGGGCAGACAGCAGAGGCACCACTACAGAAGATGAGAAAGAGAGTGAGGATGGTAAGGAGATGGAAGGTGAGATGAGACGAGAGGTTAACACTACCGAGGATGCGTCGGGACAACCCAAGTGTAACACTGTGACGGATCTCCCTTACAGTGACTGTCTTCCCCATGCAGCCTCCTTACCCCGATTTCCTGATGAACGTACGCCACTGATCAGACCGTCATCTTCCTTCACCGGGTTAGTGCTCTATATGCACTCGCTATTTTTTTGGTCTATTTTTAAATGGGATGCACAATTATAAAGAAATTTTTTCATTCAAATTTTAGAGCTTCCTGAGGAGTATAGAGGTGTTTAAAAATTTATAACTTTTTTTTTTTTAATGTTTTACACTGTGAGAGAATTGTTGAATGGGTTCATTATTTAATGTCTGAAGGAGTTATGGCCAGGAAAGTACTCATTCAGTTTAGTTTGTGTGTTGGTAAATTTGTCAGTGCAATAAATATTTTTTTTAAATTTGGAATTTTTTTTGAATTTTCATCAAATTGGATTATCTTAAAAAAAAAAAAAAAAAAAATTCTTACGAGATTGTAGAGAATTTTAACACTAATGCAACTTAAAAGAAAATCTAAAAATATTGAATACTCCTGTTTTTAAATTTCTCTAGTTAAGCAAACCTTTAAATACTGCACAACATGATGCCAGAACCATTATCTACAGTGTTCTTATACCATCTAAGGTAAAAACCTTAGATGGCATGGTAGTTAATACTTTCAGAACATCTTAGTTGGCTTGCAAATTTCAAACCACGGTCAAGTATTACTAGGTGATAGTTCATAGACCAGTTGACATGTACAGGTGTTCTTTGCTCAATTTTGTGTGGACTGTTCCTGAAATTGATTTCCACTAAATTGCTTTAAAGGTCTTTGTTTGATCAGCATGCATCACATTTCAGGAACTGTACTGTATTTTTAATATCCAGATTAAAAGAATCTTAATACCCGGGTGTTAAAATTTTTAATACCTGGGCATTAAATTTTTTTTAATGTGTATGCACGTGAACAAATTGGGGGGGTTGAAAGGAGAGGTAGGTTATTTCAGGAAGGATTGGAGGGCAGGGGGTAAAGGATGTTTACGTGCTTGGGGCTTGAGTATCCAGCAGGCTTGTGTGAGTGTTGAAAAGTGATTTTCATGGCATGATGTTCTTTTGGAGTGCGAGTATGGCAGCATTTATGGAGGAATTGAGCAGCAAAATGGGTTAGCTGGACTTCAGTCCTAGGGGTAGGAAGTACTGTGCCAGCACCTGAAGGAAGGGTGAGGATGTTGCAGTTCTGAGAGTCTTTTTGAATTTTGATGTCGCACACTTGCAGAAGACAGCTATTGATGTGGATGTGTTTCCTTGTTTTTCAAGTCACACTACCTCAGTTGGAGAGGGCCAGTAAAATATATATTTTTTTTTTTTTTCAACAAACCGGCCGTATCCCACCAAGGCAGGGTGGCCCAAAAAGAAAAACGAAAGTTTCTCTTTTTAAATTTAGTAATTTATACGGGAGAAGGGGTTACTAGCCCCTTGCTCCTGGCATTTTAGTCGCCTCTTACAACACGCATGGCTTACGGAGGAAGAATTCTGTTCCACTTCCCCATGGAGATAAGAGGAAATAAACAACAACAAGAACTAGAAAGAAAATAGAAAAAAACCCAGAGGGATGTGTATATATACATATATATGCTTGTACATGCATGTGTAGTGTGACCTAAGTGTAAGTAGAAGTAGCAAGACGTACCTGAAATCTTGCATGTTTATGAGACAGAAAAAAACGACACCAGCAATCCTACCATCATGTAAAACAATTACAGGCTTTCGTTTTACACTCACTTGGCAGGACGGTAAGTGTAAAACGAAAGCCTGTAATTGTTTTACATGATGGTAGGATTGCTGGTGTCTTTTTTTCTGTCTCATAAACATGCAAGATTTCAGATACGTCTTGCTACTTTTACTTACACTTAGGTTATGCTGCACATGCGTGTACAGGCATGTATTTACACACCCCTCTGGGTTTTCTTATATTTTCTTGCTAGTTCTTGTTCTTGCTTATTTCCTCTTATCTCCATGGGGAAGTTGAACAGAATTCTTTCTCTGTAAGCCATGCATGACTAATGTGCAGGGAGCAAGGGACTAGTAACCCCTTCTCCTGTATACATCACTAAATTTAAAAAGAGAAAGTTTTGTTTTTCTTTTTGGGCCACCCTGCCTCGGTAGGATACAGTTAGTTTGTTGAAAGAAGAAGAATAAATGAAAAATATAGTGGGGTATGAATACATCATGAAAGCATTACTAAAATAATTTTTTTTCTATTTCATATTTTGCCATTGTTTTATAGAATACAGTATACTGGTACCAGTATTGTATAAGGTTATAAGACTTAACAAAGTCTGTGATATTGCTGAGCTAATATGAACCATTTTCCAGCATTTATTCCAGTTCTTGGTCAACCACAGTGGGTCCTTCTCCATACACATCTGATAACAAGCCCAAAAGGTAAGCTTTTCAATATGTTGTAATTGTTTATTTCATGTCCTTCAAAAATAAGAGTTCTCAGTGTCAGTATTGTGTATCATTGCTGTTTTATGCATGATAAATTTACTACACTATCTTCCAAATTTATCATTGGTTATGCCTGTATTGTTTATAATTGACTTTTGTTTCTCTTTCATAATAATGGAAGCACTTTGTTTCAGGCATTACAATATGACTTATTTTTTACCCACTTGCCTTGCCTTTACTCCTACATGCTAAATTCAGTTCTGTGTCTTCTTATTGTCCATTCAGTACACTCAAATTTCCCTACAGAAATTCCTTGTAATGTGTTTCAATTTTCAACTTGTGTTTAATTAAATTATTTTGTAAATTTAAAAAGGATAGGTAAGCATATTGTTAGCTATGTCACCATGCAAGCATGCAAATATTTAATTTCAGGTACTGTACTTTGCAAGAAAAGTGTATAATGTTATCATACAATGACGGATCTCCTTACAACACTTAGCATTCACATCTCGATACTGCTCACTGATTTAAACATGTATTGTGAAGGTAGAGTGCCATGCTTGCAGTTTAAGAAAAATATTTACACAAATTATAAAGGTAGCTTGAGCAAATCAGATGATGTATTTATTCAAAAATGTATTTTTTTCAGGAGACCATTTCACCATGCTGTTGCCAGTAGTGGCTCAACTTCTGGTGCTCGCACCATGGATGGCAGTACTATCGACGCACACTTGTTCACTCGCTACAGATATTATTCCAGACTTCGAGCAGATGTTCATCCAAGTGAACAGGCTCTGGTACTGTGCTTGCAGATTTTATTTTTATTAATTATGCTACAAGTGATTAACAAACTGGAAGATCTCAGCTATGAGGAAACTAGTGATACATATATGCTTAATGTGAGGGGCTGTCTTCTCTGACCTATAGATGTTTTCTCATTGTTATTTTCCTTGGTGTCCATCAGAAGATGTTAGAACTTGTAGCTAATCTGCAACCTCAGCGCTGTTTCAAATCTTAATTCTTTTTCTTACAGTTCAGTCATCTTATTGTCTTAATTTTTTTAACATGCCGGCTGTTTCCCACTGAGGTAGGGTGACCCAAAACAAAAACACTTTCACCAACATTCAATACTTTCACCATCATTCACACACAATTACTATCTTTGCAGAGGCACTCAGAAACGACAATTTAGATGTCACTCCAAACAGCCAATATCCCAAACCCCTCCGCCAAAGCGCAGGCATTCTACCTCCTACCTCCAGGACTGAAGTCTGGCTAACCGGTTAATTCTTTACTGTATCTTGGTTACCTTACAGGAAGTAGAGATCCCCATCTAAATGAAACATTATGGTTTTCACAAAGTTTTTACCTTTCTTTTTTTTCTGCTGCATATTAACCTAACTTATCTATAAGTTAAATGATGTTACTGTGCAGCTGATTTGAGTAATACTTGTGACCTGTTTGAATTTGATATATAGAACCTAAGATCTTTACAGTACTGTTTGAAATAAGTTACCCAAAGGGTCATAAAATTAGATACATTAAAAGGATACTCAGTGGAATAAAGAAGAGACAGATACCCAATACTATATAGTATATACAGTGGACCCTCGACCAACGATATTAATCTGTTCCTGAGAGCTCATCGTTAGTCGAAATTATCGTTAGTCGAGTTAATTTTCCCCATAAGAAATAATGGAAATCAAATTAATCCATTCCTGACACCCCAAAGTATTGAAAAAAAAAAATTTACCACATGAAATATTAATTTTAATACACACAAACTGAAGAAGACATGTACAATTACATGACACTTACCTTTATTGAAGATCTGGTGATGATTGATGGGATGGGAGGAGGGGAGAGTGTGGATGGTGTTAGTGTTTAGAAGGGGAATCCCCTTCCATTAGGACTTGAGGTGTCAAGTCCTTTTCCGGGGTTACTTTCCTTCTTCTTTTAATGCCACTAGGACCAGCTTGAGAGTCACTGGACCTCTGTCGCACAACATATCTGTCCATAGAGCTCTGTACCTCCCATTCCTTTAAGATTTGTCTAAAATGGGCCATAACATTGTCATTGTAATAGTTACCAGCACGGCTTGCAATAGCTGTGTTAGGATGATTTTCATCCATAAAGGTTTGCAGTTCAACCCACTTTGCACACATTTCCTTAATCTTTGAAGTAGGCACAATGGATTCCACAACTGGCATAGGCATCTCAGGGTTAGCCCCAAACCCTTCAAAATCTTTCTTAATTTCCATACTAATTCTCACCCTTTTTATCACAGGGTTGGCACTAGAAGCTTTCTTGGGGCCCATGGTGACTTATTTTGCAGGTGCAATCACTAAAAACGCTGTGATAATATGAAATGTTCAGATTGTATGTTTGGATGCGACCACGGTGGCTGGCTGACTTGTAAACACTGGCACCCATAGGACAAGTGAGGCGTGCTCAGGCCACACATGGACGCGTCTCAAACGGAACGAATCGCGTTGGTTGATTTTTTTAGCGCTAGTCGAGGCAAAATTTTTGCGTTAAAATGTATCGCTAGTCGCATTTAACGTTATACGATACCGTCGTTGGTCGAGGGTCCACTGTATATATGTATATACAGCGGAACCTTGGTACTCAAACTTAATTCATTCCAGAAAGCTGTTCAAGTCCCGATCTGTTCGAGTACTGAATAATTTTTCCCAACCAATTTTCTTCTTGGTTGGCTGTTATTACTAATCTTCTTAGGCCCCATGGTGACTTATTTATACAAATAATATAAAAAAACCTAGGTAGTAGGTTGATAGACAGCAACTGCCCAGGGAGGTACTACCGTTCTGCCAAATGAGTGTAAAACAAAAAGCTTGTAGTAATTGTTATACATGATGGTAGGATTGCTGGTGTCTTTTTTTTTCTCTCATAAACATGCAAGATTTCAGGTACATCTTGCTACCTCTACTTACACTTAGGTCACAATACAAATACATGTACAAGCATATATATACATACCCCTCTGGGTTTTCTGCTATTTTCTTTCTAGTTCTTGTTCTTGTTTATTTCCTCCTATCTCCATGGGGAAGTGGAACAGAATTCTTCCTCCATAAGCCATGCGTGTTGTAAGAGGCGCCTAAAATGCTGGGGGCAGGGGGCTAGTAACCCCTTCTCTTGTATAAATTACTAAATTTAAAAAGAGAAACTTTCATTTTTCTTTTTGGGCTACCATGCCTTGGTGGGATACGACTGGTTTGTTGAAAAAAAAAAAACATGCAAGATTTCAGATTGGTCTTGCTACTTTTACTTACATTAAGGTCACACTACACATGCATGTACAGTGGAACCTCAAAAATCGAACTTTCTTTGGTCCAGAAGGCTGTTCAAGTGCCACTACTGAACGAATTTATTCCCATCAGGAATAATGTAAATTAGATTAGTCCATTTAAGACCCTCAAAAATACACTTATAAAAGCACTTACAAAAATACACTTACATAATTGGTTGAGTTGGGAGCAGTTCGATTTTTGAGGTTCCACTGTACAAGCATATATATACAGACCCTTCTGGGTTTTCTTCTATTTTTCTTACTAGTTCTTATTCTTGTTTATTTCCACTTATCTCCATGGGGAAGTGGAACAGAATTCTTCCTCCGTAAGCCATGCATGTTGTAAGAGTCGACTAAATTCCAGGAGCAAGGGGCTAGTAACCCCTTCTCCTGTATATATTACTAAATATAAAAGGAGAAACTTTCGTTTGTCCTTTTGGGCCACCCCCACCTAGGTGGGATATGGCTGGTACGTTGAAAGAAGAAGAAAAGGAGAAACTTTCATTTTTCTTTTTGGGCCACCCCGCCTCGGTGGGATACGGCCGGTGCGTTGAAAGAAAGAAAATAAAGAAAAACACCAAAAAATGCGAAGAAACATGAAAAGTTTACAGTGAAGTTATGGCAGGTCGTGTTTGTTTGGCTGAGTGCTGAGCAAACAGTCGACTACCGAGTTATTTTTTTTACCGAACAAAGCGTTCGAATACCGAATTGTTTGAGTACAGAGCTGTTCAGATACCGAGGTTCCACTGTATATACATGTAAGATACCTGAAATATATACACATGAAAGATAGTTAATGACTAATTTCCAAATCTGCACACTATCATAACATTTAAAAGCAAGAGATGTGGAAGGAGAGATATGGAAGGTGTAAAATATATCTAGTGAAAGGTAGGGGTGCCATAGGCATGATAAGAACATTTTCATCATCTGTGGTTCAAAACTGCTAAAGCTTATCTTTGCTTACTACTGCAGTCTTGTAATGTAATACAATATATATATTACAGGTAATCCCAGACCATGTTGTTCCACCAGAGTTGTTCTTGCCGTACATCCCCGGACACACTCCCGATGCTGATGGCAAGCAGGCTTCACACATCACCATGTGAGTCTCATCTGCATATTTTGTTACGCATGCACTGTTACTCTACACAAGGTGAATGCAATTTAGTATTGATGAACTGCATAATATTCTTGCAATAAGTTATTACAGTATATTCAGATATGATAAAAAGTCATAACGGGTCATATAGCATTACATAAATAATACATGTATTAAATTAGGTACTGTATATTAATTAATTTGCATAGCTTTCTGCATTTATTTTTTATTTATATGCATCCTTGTATTACAGCATAGCCATTTGGAATACAATGATGGGCACATCTTTGATGACAATGCCTTGGGCATTTGGTCAAGCAGGGTTTGCTGGTGGCTTGATCATTATGCTTGGCATGGCAGCTCTCTCCTTATATACAGCTATAAGACTCCTCACACTGCAGAAGACAATTGGTAGGCTGAAAATTATATTTGAAGATTTTTAATTGTTCTGCTACATATAATGTTCAGAAAAATTACTTAATTTCATAATGCCTGCACTCTAAGTAAATGTGCTTAACTTAAGAATAATGTTGCATTCTCTGCTCCTTTTTTTTTTCTCAACCTACTGGCTATCTCCCACTGAGTCAGGGTATTTATACAGAAGAAAGGGTTACTAGCCCCCTTGCTTCCAGCATCCTAGTTGCTTTTTATGACACGTATGGCTTATGGAGGAAAGCTAATTTTCCACTTCTCCTTGGAGATGAAAGAAAATAAATAAGAATAAGAACTATTAAGAAAATAGAAGAAAACTCAGATGGATTTACACATATACATGTACATGCATATGTAGTGTGACCTAAATGTAAATAAAAATAGCAAGATGTCCCTCTTATCGTGAATGTGTTCTCTGCTCCTTATATACATACTAACAGCTCTAGCCCAGTGGTGAGAGTCACTCCTCTCTCCATTGAGGTTTGGGGATCAAATCCTTGGACTGACAAGAAAAAAATTAGTTTCTGGCTAGCCAAACTTGAGTCCTAGAGGTGGGAAGTATATTGGCTGCACTTTAAAGGGTGACATCTAAACTGTCGTATCTGTGTGCCTCTGACAAGACAGTGGTAGGGTGAATGATGGTGAAAGTGTTTCTTTTTAGCGTTACCCTACCTTGATGGGAGACAGCCAGCATGTTAAAAAAAATTGAGAGAAAAATCGATATGACAGAATTTTTGTTAGGTTCGAGAAACTAGAATAAATAGAAAATTCTTAGATGAAAGGTATATAATACCAACAAGTTTATGAAAAATGACAGGTGAAATACCTGGGTATCTTTATTGAGAGAAGTTCCACCTGCACAGCAGGATTTCTCAATGGAATACAGAGGTAGGAGGATGTAGACATTTATAGTGGAACCACTGGAGGAAATGAAGAGATGCAGCAGTTGTACACATGATCATATATGAGTAGGGCCCATTCTCGGAAGTGGGTCAGGACTGGCCTATTTCCACAAGTGGGCCCCACCTATTTGTGATCATGTCTACAATTGCCGTTTTCCACTGGCTCCACTATAAAAGTTTCCATCCTCCTACCTCTGTATTAGACTGAAAAAGCCTACAGGGCAGGTAATTATTGACCAAGTTGTATAACCTGTCTGGAGGTAAGAAGTAGTGTGCTTGCTAAAGGATGGGTTGTGATGTTACACTTCAGATTGTCATTTAAATTGGCTAGACAGAGAATGAGTGATACTTTGTGTTAACCTTATTTGGGTCACCTATCTTGGTGGCAAATGGTCAGTGTGTTCAAAAATGTTATATTGTATGCTGTCAGAATACAGTTGATGCACATCATTGATTTAAACTTTAATTAACATTTTGTTTGTGTAACTCTAAACTAAGAGAAAAACAATTAATGTTTAGCAATAATTTGAGTACCAGAGATCAGCTATACTTTAGAAACTTTTACAAAATATTTGCTGTTTGGAGGAACATATGAACTCGTGTATCTGCATACCTCTGGCAGGTCAGTGATAGTGTGAATGATGGTGAAAGTGTTTCTTCCTTTTCAGGTTGCCCTACCTCAGTGGGAGACAGCCAGCATGTTAAAAAAATAATGAATCGGGCAGCAATATCTTTGCTGTTACAGTCACTGAGTGCTGCTTTTCTTTCAGAATAAAGATAATCCAGGGAAAACAAATTACATGACCATTCTAGTTTTGTTTGCTGCAGTGTCTTTGTACAGTGCCTGTCTTTGCACAATGTCTACACTCTGAAGGAAGGGTGTTAATGTTGCAGTTTTACAACTGTAGTGTAAGTGCACCTCTGGCAAGACTGATGGAGTGAATGATGGTGAAAGTTTTTCTTTTTCGGGCAACCCTACCTTGGTGGGAGACAGCTGATGTGTTAATAATAAAAAAAGGTAATCTTTGTTTTTTAATTTTATAGGAGGGATCATGCATTTAGTTGCTATGGGTCATCTAGTTTAAAATAGAAAAGAAGGGCCTAATTTCTTATTTGTTGCAGAATTCTAATTTGATAAATATATTTGGTTGCAGGCTTGGAAGGTCCATCACTGGAATTAAGTCGTGTGTGTCTACAGTTACTTGGAGGGACACTGGGCAGACTGACAGAGTGTGTGACTGTGAGTTTCTCAGTACTCACATTAGTTGGGGCTCAGGTTGTCTACTGGGTCCTCATGTCCAATTTTCTCTTCAACACTGGAGAAGTAATATATGGTGAGTTCTCTGTTTTCTTTGTGACATTAATCATCTTCCACACATCAGATACAATGACCCTTTGTTCTGAAATATTGAAAAGATTTGTTAGTGGCTTTGTGGGGCAGGTGAGGATGTGGGGGGCATGTAATGTGGGAAGGTAGTAGTGGGTCACCAGGGGCAAATGGGTCAAAGTTGGTGTGGTGAAATCTTGCAACATTAGTGTTTACAGCATTATATTTGAACAACTCTGATTATTATGCAGAAGGCTGAGGAGGGGTTATTGAGGTGGTTTGAACATTTAGAGGAATGGAGCAAAATAGGATGACTTGGAGAGTGTATATATCTGTAATGGGAGGAAGAATGGGTGCTAGCGACCACAAATCAATTACATTTAGCATTGAATGGAAGTACGATAGTAGCGATAACTCAGTAACAGTCCCAGATTTTCGCTTAGCAGATTACGATGGGCTTAGAGAACACTTATCATCTGTTGACTGGGGTAACGAAGTGAGCTATCAATATGACAGTTTTCTGAACACTATACATGCTGCTCAAAGAACGTTTATCCCATATAAAGAAATTAGATCAAATAGAAATGACCCAAAATGGATGAATAATTGGCTCAAATATCTACTAGGGCATAAGAAAGGAATTTATAGGCGTATCAAAAGAGGTGAAGGTCATCTTATGAATCAGTATATTGACATTAAGAGGGACATTAAAAAGGGGATAAGAAAAGCTAAAAGGGACTATGAAATTAAAGTTGCTAGGGATTCTAAAACTAACCCAAAAAGTTTTTTCCAGGTCTATAGAACAAAAGTTAGAGATAAGATAGGTCCCCTTAAAAATAACTATGGGCACCTTACTGACAAAGAGAATGAAATGTGCTCGATTTTTAATAATTATTTTCTCTCAGTTTTTACACAGGAAGACACTAACAATATTCCAGTAATTAATTTTTATAGTGGGCTAGAAGAGGATAAATTATGTAACATCACAGTCACTAGTGAAATGGTTGTGAAGCAGATAGACAGACTGAAGCAAAATAAGTCGCCGGGTCCTGATGAGGTTTTTTCAAGGGTTCTTAAGGAATGCAAAATGGAACTCTGTGAACCATTAACTAATATTTTTAATTTATCTCTTCAAACAGGTGTAGTGTCTGATATGTGGAAGATGGTTAATGTAATTCCTATTTTTAAAACAGGGGACAAGTCGTTACCGTCAAATTACTGCCCAATAAGCCTGACCTCAATTGTAGGCAAATTACTAGTCAATTATAGCTGAGATTATAAGAAGCCATCTCGATAAGCATAGCTTGATTAATGATACTCAGCATGGATTCACAAGAGGCCGGTCTTGTCTAACTAATTTATTAACTTTCTTCAGTAAAGCTTTTGAGGCTGTTGACCACGATAAAGAATTTCATATTATTTACTTAGATTTTAGTAAGGCTTTTGATAGAGTTCTGCACCATAGACTGTTAAAGAAAGTGGCAGCTCATGGCATTGGGGGGAAAAGTGCTCTCGTGGATCGAGTCATGGCTCACTGACAGGAAGCAGAGAGTGTCCATAAATGGGGTTAAATCCGAGTGGGGATCTGTAACAAGTGGCGTTCCACAGGGATCAGTCTTGGGCCTGTTGTTGTTTATAATATATATCAATGATCTTGATGAGGGAATTACTAGTGATATGAGCAAATTCGCCGATGACACAAAGATAGGTAGGATAATTGATTCAAACGTAGATGTTATGGAACTTCAGGAGGATTTAAACAAACTCTATTCTTGGTCAGAAAAGTGGCAGATGCAGTTCAATGTAGGTAAATGCAAGGTTCTGAAGCTCGGGAGTGCCCATAACCCTAGTACTTATAAGTTAAATTATGTAGAACTTAGCCATACAGATTGCGAAAAGGACTTGGGGGTTATGGTGAGCAGCAACCTTAAACCAAGACAGCAATGCCTAAGCGTACGTAATAAGGTAAATAGATTACTGGGATTTATATCAAGAAGTGTAAGCAACAGAAGTCCAGAGGTCATACTGCAGCTTTATACATCATTAGTAAGGCCTCACCTAGATTATGCAGCTCAGTTCTGGTCTCCATGTTAGAGAATGGACATAAATTCGTTAGAAAACATTCAGCGTAGGATGACTAAATTAATACATAGCATTAGAAATCTTCCTTATGAAGAAAGATTGAAGACTCTTAAGTTACATTCACTTGTTAGATGAAGAATGAGGGGAGACCTGATCGAAGTGTATAAGTGGAAGATAGGTATTAATAAAGGGGATATTAATAAGGTCTTGAGGATGTCTCTCCAAGAGAGAACCCACAGTAATGGATTTAAATTAGATAGAAAAGAGTAAGGTGATGAGGGTGTCAAATGATTTAGATAAAGAAAAATTGGATATCAAATTGGGGAGGAGGAGTATGGAAGAAGTGAATGTTTTCAGATACTTGGGAGTTGACGTGTCGGCGGATGGATTTATGAAGGATGAGGTTAATCATAGAATTGATGAGGGAAAAAAGGTGAGTGGTGCGTTGAGGTATATGTGGAGTCAAAAAACGTTATCTATGGAGGCAAAGAAGGGAATGTATGAAAGTATAGTAGTACCAACACTCTTATATGGGTGTGAAGCTTGGGTGGTAAATGCAGCAGCGAGGAGACGGTTGGAGGCAGTGGAGATGTCCTGTTTAAGGGCAATGTGTGGTGTAAATATTATGCAGAAAATTCGGAGTGTGGAAATTAGGAGAAGGTGTGGAGTTAATAAAAGTATTAGTCAGAGGGCAGAAGAGGGGTTGTTGAGGTGGTTTGGTCATTTAGAGAGAATGGATCAAAGTAGAATGACATGGAAAGCATATAAATCTATAGGGGAAGGAAGGCGGGGTAGGGGTCGTCCTCGAAAGGGTTGGAGAGAGGGGGTAAAGGAGGTTTTGTGGGCAAGGAGCTTGGACTTCCAGCAAGCGTGCGTGAGCGTGTTAGATAGGAGTGAATGGAGACGAATGGTACTTGGGACCTGACGATCTGTTGGAGTGTGAGCAGGGTAATATTTAGTGAAGGGATTCAGGGAAACCGGTTATTTTCATATAGTCGGACTTGAGTCCTGGAAATGGGAAGTACAATGCCTGCACTTTAAAGGAGGGGTTTGGGATATTGGCAGTTTGGAGGGATATGTTGTGTATCTTTATATGTGTATGCTTCTAGACTGTTGTATTCTGAGCACCTCTGCAAAAACAGTGATAATGTGCGAGTGTGGTGAAAGTGTTGAATGATGATGAAAGTATTTTCTTTTTGGGGATTTTCTTTCTTTTTTGGGTCACCCTGCCTCGGTGGGAGACGGCCGACTTGTTGAAAAAAAAAAAAAAAAAAAGTTTAGATTTAGAAAGGACATAGGAAAGTATTGGTTTGGAAATAGGGTAGTTGATGAGTGGAACAGTCTACCTAGTTGGGTTATTGAGGCTGGGACTTTGGGTAGTTTCAAATTTAGGTTGGATAAGTACATGAGTGGGAGGGGTTGGATTTGAGTGGGACTTTCACATCAGAGCTTATTTCTTGGGTGGCATTGAAAATTGGGTTGGGCAAATGTTTTGTTAGTGGGATGAATTGTAAAGGACCTGCCTAGTATGGGCCAACAGGCCTCCTGCAGTGTGCCTCCTTTCTTATGTTCTTATGTTCTTATGTTCTTATGTTCTAGGAAAGGTTGGAGGGAGTGGGTAGAGGATTTGTGTGCAAGAGACTTGGACATGGGTTAAATCTATAGTTGTTGACAAATCTCAACAAAACAATTGTATGAAATAAACATACTCAAAGTATTAATATATTTGCTATGAATACTGTACATTATAACTACCAGGGTAATCCCATGTATTGGAAGATTGACTTTGTGTTTGCAAGTCATTAATTAGTTCCAGAGTGCCATTGTTGTAAGAGTGGAACATTGTAAGCCAGGGACCTATTTTATATACTAGTATTGTTTTCATGATTTACTCTTGATATGCATTTGTATATATTTTGGTTGGCATTATATTTTTCAGATGCCATGAATGGTGAAATACACAATGACTCATCTAGTATGTTACTGTGTCCTCCAAATATGACACACGATGATTTGAGTATACCAGAGCCGAGCATGTTTCACCGCTGGTGGCAACAAGACTTGACTGTGCCATTCTACCTTATTATACCCTTCCTGTTCATTCTTAATCTTCGTAATGCCAAAATATTTACATACTTCAACTCTCTTGGTGAGTTCAACCTGAATATAAGGCTAATAAATTTCTTGTTTAATAAGACAGACTTCTTGGATAACCTGATGTGTGTTCTAGATATGCTGGGTATACTCATGCTCACTATCCCTTTAAGGAGCATGCATTGATGCCAGTCAAGGACTCTTGATCTTAGGAACTAGAGCTATCTTCCCCTTCTTTACTTTGAATATGTGTTTCCCCCTTCTTTAGGTGCTTAATGGCTTCTACAGGTTTAACGCTGCCCCATGACTATAATAATAATAATTTTTTTTTTTAACATGTCATCCATTTCCTGTGGAAGTAGGGTGACCCAAAAAGAAAGAAAAACCCCAAAATAAAGAAAAAATTTTCATCATTCAACACTTTCACCATCACTCATACATAATCACTGTCTTTCCAGAGGCACTCAGATACAACAGTTTAGATGTCCCTCCAAACTGTCAATATCCCAAACCCTTCCTTTAAAGTGCAGGCATTGTACAGTGGACCCCCACTTTACGATCAGCTCCCAATGCGACCAGTTATGTAAGTCTATTTATGTAAGTGCGTTTGTACGTGGATGTTTGGGGGTCTGAAATGGACTAATCTAATTCACAATATTCCTTATGGGAACAAATTCGTTCAGTAATGGCACCTGAGCATACTTCTGGAATGAAATAATATCGTAAACCGGGGGTCCACTGTACTTCCCATTTCCAGGACTCCAGTCCAGCTAACTGGTTTCCCTGAATCCCTTCACAAAGTATTACCCTGCTCACACTCCAACAGCTCGTTAGGTCCCAAAAACTATTCGTCTCCATTCACTCCTATCTAACACGCTCACGCACGCTTGCTGAAAGTTCAAACCCCTCGCCCACAAAACCTCCTTTACCCCTACCCCTACCCCGCCTTCCTTTTCCTACAGATTTATACACTCCAAGTCATTCTGACTAATACTTTCAGTAACTCCACACTTTCTCCTAATTTCCACACTACGAATTCTCTGCATAATATTTACACTATACATTGCCCTTAGACAGAACATCTCCAGTGCCTCCAGCTGCCTCCTCACTGCAGCATTTACAACCCATGCTTCACACCCATGGGAGAGTGCTGGTACCACTATACTCTCATACATTCCCTTCTTTGCCTCAATGTATAATGTTTTTTGTCTCCACAGATATCTCGATGCACCGCTCACCTTTTTTTCTTCATCAATTGTATGGTTAACCTCATCCTTCATAAACCCATCCGCTGACAAGTCAACTCCTAAATATCTGAAAACGTTCACTTCTATACTCCCTCCCTCCAATGTGATATCCAGTTTTTCTTTATCAAAATCATTTGATACCTTCATCTCTCCTGTATGGGTGTGAAGCATGGGTGATGAATGTTGCAGCGAGGAGAAGGCTGGAGGCAGTGGAGATGTCATGTCTGAGGGCAATGGGTGGTGTGAATATAATGCAGAGAATTTGTAGTTTGAAAGTTAGGAGGAGGTGCGGGATTGCCAAAACTCTTGTCCAGAGGGCTGAGGAAGGGTTGTTGAGGTGGTTCGGACAAGTAGAGAGAATGGAGCAAAACAGAATGACTTCAAGAGTATATCAGTCTGTAGTGGAAGGAAGGCGGGGTAGGGGTCGGCCTAGGAAAGGTTAGAGGGAGGGGGCAAAGGAGGTTTTGTGTGCGAGGGGCTTGGACTTCCAGTGGGCATGCATGAGCATTTTTGATAGGAGTGAATGGAGACAAATGGTTTTTAATACTTGACGTGCTGTTGGAGTGTGAGCAAAGTAACATTTATGAAGGGATTCAGGGAAACCGGCAGGCCGGACTTGAGTCCTTGAGATGGGAAGTACAGTGCCTGCACTCTGAAGGAGGGGTGTTAATGTTGCAGTTTAAAAGCTGTAGTGTAAAGCACCCTTCTGGCAAGACAGTGATGAAGTGAATGATGGTGAAAGTTTTTCTTTTTTGGGCCACCCTGCCTTATCTATGTTCACTTTCACCTTTCTATCTTTATTATTAAATTCTCCTTCTTTCAACAAATCGGCCATTTCCCACCGAGGCAGGGTGGCCCAAAAAGAAAAACAAAAGTTTCTCTTTTTAACTTTAGTAATGTATACAGGAGAAGGGGTTACTAGCCCCTTGCTCCTGGCATTTTAGTAGACTCTTACGACATGCATGACTTGCGGAGGAAGAGTTCTGTTCCACTTCCCCATGGAGATAAGAGGAAATAAACAAGAATAAGAATTAGAAAGAAAAGAGAAGAAAGCCCAGAGGGGTGTGTATATATATATGCTTGTACACATATGTGTAGTGTGACCTAAGTGTAAGTAGAAGTAGCAAGACATACCTGTAATCTTGCATATTTATGAGACAGACGAAAGACACCAGCAATCCTACCATCATGTAAAAGAATTACAGGTTTTCGTTTTACACTCACTTGGCAGGACGGTAGTACCTCCCTGGGTGGTTGCTGTCTACCAACTTACTACCTAGGCTTATTAAATTCTAATAATAATAATGCTTGCTGTATTTGTGCTTCATTTTCATTGTGCAAACGATACACTGATGAGTTACACTTTTTTATTCCCACTGATGCCTTGTTTCCTCATGGAGATTACAGTTTTTCCCTTCATTAAGACAAACTGATTTTTTGTCTGATACTGCAGGATTATGGGAATCTTACTGTGTATTCACCTATTGGTAGTTGCAGGGGTTAATTCTCAGCTCTTGGCCCTACCTCTTAACTTGCCACTTCTGATTCACTCCCTCTTTGGCTCAAGGGCTGTATTGTACCTGCTCCTGAAACTGTGTATGGAGCCTTCCTTCATCACTTCCTTACCAAGATCATTCCACTTCCTGACCATTCTGAGACTGAAGAAATATATCCTAACATCCCTGTAGCTTATTTGTGACTAGTTTCCAACAGTGTTCCCTAGTTTCCATTTCTCACCTCTCAAACAGCCTATCCCTGTCTACCCTGAGTATTTTGTATAATGTTATCATGTCCTCCCTGGTTCTTCTGTCCTCCAATGTCATTAGGTACAATTGCATTAGCCACTCCTTGTAGCTCATGACCCTTAGCTCAGAAACAAGCCTTGTTACATGCCTCTTTTCTTTCTTCAGTTTCTTAACATTTTTTTTCAGGTGCAGGTTCCATACTGGTGCTGTATACTTCAAGATGAACCTAATGTATATTGTATAAAGGGCCCAGAATGTCTCTTTGTTGAAATTCCTGAAGGATCCTCTTTGATTTGCCAGGCAAGCAGTGGCTGCAGAGATTATTTGGTTGATGTGAGACTCTGGCGTTATACCTGGCACTGTGCTCAACCCTAGGTCTTTCTCTTTCTGCAGCCTCTGTCCCCCTTGTCTATAACCCATTTCCAGTGGTCTTGCTCCTTCCCCTATCTTCATGGCTTTGCTTTTACTGGGGTTGAATTCAAGCAACCACTTGTAATTTGTCCAGCTCCCTTTGGAACCTTTCCTTGTCCTCATTGTCTTATTATTTTTCCATCATCAGCAAAGAGGAATATACAGCATCTGAATCAATTCCATCTGGATTGTCATTCACATAAACCAGAAACAGTACTGGTCCTCATACCGATCCTTGTTAGGTTTTCTCAAAAACTGAGTTTCTGATAGAATTGGTATGAAATGAACAGGATAGGTATCTGCTCTGTCCTAAAATCAGGGAATTTAACAAAACAGTCATTGTGTCATGGCTTATCATCCTAGAAAATGGATGCAAAAACCGAGTAGATGATTAAGGTATACAGTATGTGTAACACCTGGGTATCTTTATTCATGAAGGCGTTTCATCAACTAGAGGCTTTCTCAGTTCAATAAAATTATTATACACTGGAGACAGCAGAAGATGAGGCTGAGGGACAGACCATTTTCATTCAAGACTGAAGGACTGATTACCTGATCTTTCACTCTCTCCAGTTTATAATCACTGAACTGGATTGAAAAAGCTGCTGGTTGGTGAAAAGTCATCAGCCTTCCTTGGTTGACAATATTTAATGTGTTATTGTTATATGCAATGTGATGTAAATTCATATAGGAAGGTTATGAAGAGAGCATCCTCTTATAATAATGTACAGTATATCAGTGAATCTTGCTTTGGGTTGTAATAATGATTGCTTAGCAAGATTATTTTAATCTGGGACAGCACTGAACCTGTACAAGTCATACATTGTCTGTGAAATGAGAGGGCACCAGGTTCGATCCAAGGAAAGGGAGTGTAATTTATTTCAATGCCTTGGATCTAAAGCACCACCAGCATGAAGACCCTCCCACCCCCTTTTTCTTGAATTAGGATTAGCAAGACCATATATCTGATACAATTTATTGTAAGGTGTTGAGTATCAGAGTTTTGTTTTAACTGTTCCCTTCAAGGTGTTGCTTTGGTGCTCTTAAACAGTTCTTGATCCAAGGAATATGACCTAACCCACATTTCCATGAATTAAACCTGATTATATGCCATTCCCCAGGCATTGTATGGCCCCTACACCTTGAATACTTCTTTATAAATATAATTACAGTACGTACTGTGTATAAAGTGTTTCCTATTTATATATTCAAGCATTTTTAATTATGCTTTTATGTACTGTGCCCTAATGTATTAATTACACATTACATTGTATCATATGATTTAATGCACATGTACTTCACAACAATTTTGATTGAAGATTTTCACATTGGTCAACAGGCGCAATCTCAGTGCTTGTGATGTACCTGTTTGTCATCTCTAAAGCTTCAGTGTGGGGCTTCAACATCAGCGTCACTGATCCTACTGATATCTTCTATGTTCCTCTCTTTAAGGTTGGACTAATTTTGAAATGTGTGTATTGTTAATGATAATTTAACCTTAGGTAGGTAAAAGTGAGTCTGTATGAATCCCACTCATTTTCCAGTGGAAGAAAATCATTACTTTTAATGTAGGTGTGTAACTGAACCTTTGAACCTATCATGATGACACTGCTAAAGTAGTCAGTACAATTTTTAACTATTTGAAAAGAAATGGTGTTCAGTACTAATGAGTTGAAAAATAGCACATTTGTGACACAACTGGGTAGCCTTATTCTGAGGATGCTTTTGCCAACCAGTGGATTTATCAGTTCTTGAGAGATTATTTGAAGGTATTGGAACTGGAGACAGTAGAAAACAGGGTCCTTGTGTATTTTGGACACTATTATCTTTATTTACTATTTTTTTGCTGGAAAATAGTTTTAAAAGCAATTCTGAAGGCTAATTGGGAGGCAAACAGTAATTTATCTGGCACCATCACAATGGTATACAGTGAATTTGTGTACCCTGGGTTTTGTTAGGATTATGCATTGTTTATCTTTTACTGATGGGAAAGTGTAAAATTTGGGGAAATTTGAGAATCTCCATCTTGAGAGGACATAACAGATGATGCTATTTATCCTCATAAATGTGAGCTTTCATTTAAATATTCTCTATTGCTTATACAGGCCAGAGTTCTCTAGTACTGCAGCTGTGCCTATGACCTGTACAACTGTAGTAGTTTGTAGTACAATAGTTAGGCCTACAGTTTACAGAATTGTTTAGTTTTTCCTCAATTGCCTTTGATCGCTGCATTGGTAGGGGATCTGAATGCTAAAGTAGGAGAAACTTTTAGAGAGGGTGCGGTAGGTAAGTTTGGGGTGCCAGGTGTAAATGAAAATGGGAGCCCTCTGATTGAACTTTGTATAGAAAGGGGTTTAGTTATAGGTAATACATGTTTTAAGAAAAAGAGGATAAATAAGTATACAAGATATGATGTAGGGCGAAATGACAGTAGTTTGTTGGATTATGTATTGGTAGATAAAAGACTCTTGAGTAGACTTCAGGATTTTTTTCTTATTTTTTTTTATTATCACACTGGCCGATTCCCACCAAGGCAGGGTGGCCCGAAAAAGAAAATCTTTCACCATCATTCATTCCATCACTGTCTTGCCAGAAGGGTGCTTTACACTACAGTTTTTAAACTGCAACATTAACACCCCTCCTTCAGAGTGCAGGCACTGTACTTCCCATCTCCAGGACTCAAGTCCGGCCTGCCGGTTTCCCTGAATCCCTTCATAAATGTTACTTTGCTCACACTCCAACAGCACGTCAAGTATTAAAAACCATTTGTCTCCATTCACTCCTATCAAACACGCTCACGCATGCCTGCTGGAAGTCCAAGCCCCTCGCACACAAACCTCCTTTACCCCCTCCTCCAACCTTCCTAGGCCGACCCCTACCCCCGCCTTCCTTCCACTACAGACTGATACACTCTTGAAGTCATTCTGTTTCGCTCCATTCTCTCTACATGTCCGAACCACCTCAACAACCCTTCCTCAGCCCTCTGGACAACAGTTTTGGTAATCCCGCACCTCCTCCTAACTTCCAAACTTCGAATTCTCTGCATTATATTCACACCACACATTGCCCTCAGACATGACATCTCCACTGCCTCCAGCCTTCTCCTCACTGCAACATTCATCACCCACGCTTCACACCCATATAAGAGCGTTGGTAAAACTATACTCTCATACATTCCCCTCTTTGCCTCCAAGGACAAAGTTCTTTGTCTCCACAGACTCCTAAGTGCACCACTCACTCTTTTTCCCTCATCAATTCTATGATTCACCTCATCTTTCATAGACCCATCCGCTGACAACGTCCACTCCCAAATATCTGAATACGTTCACCTCCTCCATACTCTCTCCCTCCAATCTGATATTCAATCTTTCATCACCTAATCTTTTTGTTATCCTCATAACCTTACTCTTTCCTGTATTCACCTTTAATTTTCTTCTTTTGCACACCCTACCAAATTCATCCACCAATCTCTGCAGCTTCTCTTCAGAATCTCCCAAGAGCACAGTGTCATCAGCAAAGAGCAGCTGTGACAACTCCCACTTTGTGTGTGATTCTTTATCTTTTAATTCCACGCCTCTTGCCAAGACCCTCGCATTTACTTCTCTTACAACCCCATCTATAAATATATTAAACAACCACGGTGACATCACACATCCTTGTCTAAGGCCTACTTTTACTGGGAAAAAATTTCCCTCTTTCCTACATACTCTAACTTGAGCCTCACTATCCTCGTAAAAACTCTTCACTGCTTTCAGTAACCTACCTCCTACACCATACACTTGCAACATCTGCCACATTGCCCCCCTATCCACCTGTCATACGCCTTTTCCAAATCCATAAATGCCACAAAGACCTCTTTAGCCTTATCTAAATACTGTTCACTTATATGTTTCACTGTAAACACCTGGTCCACAACCCCCCTACCTTTCCTAAAGCCTCCTTGTTCATCTGCTATCCTATTCTCCGTCTTACTCTTAATTCTTTCAATTATAACTCTACCATACACTTTACCAGGTACACTCAACAGACTTATCCCCCTATAATTTTTTGCACTCTCTTTTATCCCCTTTGCCTTTATACAAAGGAACTATGCATGCTCTCTGCCAATCCCTAGGTACCTTACCCTCTTCCATACATTTATTAAATAATTGCACCAACCACTCCAAAACTATATCCCCACCTGCTTTTAACATTTCTATCTTTATCCCATCAATCCCGGCTGCCTTACCCCCTTTCATTTTACCTACTGCCTCACGAACTTCCCCCACACTCACAACTGGCTCTTCCTCACTCCTACAAGATGTTATTCCTCCTTGCCCTATACACGAAATCACAGCTTCCCTATCTTCATCAACATTTAACAATTCCTCAAAATATTCCCTCCATCTTCCCAATACCTCTAACTCTCCATTTAATAACTCTCCTCTCCTATTTTTAACTGACAAATCCATTTGTTCTCTAGGCTTTCTTAACTTGTTAATCTCACTCCAAAACTTTTTCTTATTTTCAACAAAATTGTTGATAACATCTCACCCACTCTCTCATTTGCTCTCTTTTTTACATTGCTTCACCACTCTCTTAACCTCTCTCTTTTTCTCCATATACTCTTCCCTCCTTGCATCACTTCTACTTTGTAAAAACTTCTCATATGCTAACTTTTTCTCCCTTACTACTCTCTTTACATCATCATTCCACCAATCGCTCCTCTTCCCTCCTGCACCCACTTTCCTGTAACCACAAACTTCTGCTGAACACTCTAACACTACATTTTTAAACCTACCCCATACCTCTTCGACCCCATTGCCTATGCTCTCATTAGCCCATCTATCCTCCAATAGCTGTTTATATCTTACCCTAACTGCCTCCTCTTTTAGTTTATAAACCTTCACCTCTCTCTTCCCTGATGCTTCTATTCTCCTTGTATCCCATCTACCTTTTACTCTCAGTGTAGCTACAACTAGAAAGTGATCTGATATATCTGTGGCCCCTCTATAAACATGTACATCCTGAAGTCTACTCAACAGTCTTTTATCTACCAATACATAATCCAACAAACTACTGTCATTTCACCCTACATCATATCGTGTATACTTATTTATCCTCTTTTTCTAAAATATGTATTACCTATAACTAAACCCCTTTCTATACAAAGTTCAATCAAAGGGCTCCCATTATCATTTACACCTGGCACCCCAAACTTACCTACCACACCCTCTCTAAAAGTTTCTCCTACTTTAGCATTCAGGTCCCCTACCACAATTACTCTCTCACTTGGTTCAAAGGCTCCTATACATTCACTTAACATCTCCCAAAATCTCTCTCTCTCTCCTCTGCATTCCTCTCTTCTCCAGGTGCATACACGCTTATTATGACCCACTTCTCGCATCCAACCTTTACTTTAATCCACATAATTCTTGAATTTACACATTCATATTCTCTTTTCTCCTTCCATAACTGATCATTTAACATTACTGCTACCCCTTCCTTTGCTCTAACTCTCTCAGATACTCCAGATTTAATCCCATTTATTTCCCCCCACTGAAACTCTCCTACCCCCTTCAGCTTTGTTTCGCTTAGAGCCAGGACATCCAACTTCTTTTCATTCATAACATCAGCAATCATCTGTTTCTTGTCATCTGCACTACATCCACGCACATTTAAGCTTCAGGATGTACATGTTTATAGAGGGGCCACAGATATATCAGATCACTTTCTAGTTGTAGCTGCACTGAGAGTAAATGGTAGATGGGATACAAGGAGAATAGAAGCATCAGGGAAGAGAGAGGTGAAGGTTTATAAACTAAAAGAGGAGGCAGTTAGGGTAAGATATAAACAGCTATTGGAGGATAGATGGGCAAATGAGAGCATTGGAAATGGGGTCGAAGAGGTATGGGGTAGGTTTAAAAATGTAGTGTTAGAGTGTTCAGCAGAAGTTTGTGGTTACAGGAAAGTGGGTGCAGGAGGGAAGAGGAGCGATTGGTGGAATGATGATGTAAAGAGAGTAGTAAGGGAGAAAAAGTTAGCATATGAGAAGTTCTTGCAAAGTAGAAGTGATGCAAGGAGGGAGGAGTATATGGAGAAAAAGAGAGAGGTTAAGAGAGTGGTGAAGCAATGTAAAAGAGAGCAAATGAGAGAGTGGGTGAGATGTTATCAACAAATTTTGTTGAAAATAAGAAAAAGTTTTGGAGTGAGATTAACAAGTTAAGGAAGCCTAGAGAACAAATGGATTTGTCAGTTAAAAATTGGAGAGGAGAGTTATTAAATGGGGAGTTAGAGGTATTGGGAAGATGGAGGGAATATTTTGAGGAATTGTTAAATGTTGATGAAGATAGGGAAGCTGTGATTTCGTGTATAGGGCAAGGAGGAATAACATCTTGTAGGAGTGAGGAAGAGCCAGTTGTGAGTGTGGGGGAAGTTCGTGAGGCAGTAGGTAAAATGAAAGGGGGTAAGGCAGCCGGGATTGATGGGATAAAGATAGAAATGTTAAAAGCAGGTGGGGATATAGTTTTGGAGTGGTTGGTGCAATTATTTAATAAATGTATGGAAGAGGGTAAGGTACCTAGGGATTGGCAGAGAGCATGCATAGTTCCTTTGTATAAAGGCAAAGGGGACAAAAGAGAGTGCAAAAATTATAGGAGGATAAGTCTGTTGAGTATACCTGCTAAAGTGTATGGTAGTTATTATTGAAAGAATTAAGAGTAAGACGGAGAATAGGATATATTTATGAACAAGGAGGCTTTAGGAAAGGTAGGGGGTGTGTGGACCAGGTGTTTACAGTGAAACATATAAGTGAACAGTATTTAGATAAGGCTAAAGAGGTCTTTGTGGCATTTATGGATTTGGAAAAGGTGTATGACAGGGTGGATAGGGGGGCAATGTGGCAGATGTTGCAAGTGTATGGTGTAGGAGGTAGGTTACTGAAAGCAGTGAAAGAGTTTTTATGAGGATAGTGAGGCTCAAGTTAGAGTATGTAGGAAAGAGGGAAATTATTTCCCAGTAAAAGTAGGCCTTAGACAAGGATGTGTGATGTCAACCGTGGTTGTTTAATATATTATAGATGGGTTGTAAGAGGAGTAAATGCGAGGGTCTTGGCAAGAGGTGTGGAGTTAAAAGATAAAGAATCACACATAAAGTGGGAGTTGTCACAGTTGCTCTTTGCTGATGACACTGTGCTCTTGGGAGATTCTGAAGAGAAGTTGCAGAGATTGGTGGATGAATTTGGTAGGGTGTGCAAAAGAAGAAAATTAAAAGTGAATACAGGAAAGAGTAAGGTTATGAGGATAACAAAAAGATTAGGTGATGAAAGATTGGATATCAGATTGGAGGGAGAGAGTATGGAGGAGGTGAATGTATTCAGATACTTGGGAGTGGACGTGTCAGTGGATGGGTCTATGAAAGATGAGGTGAATCATAGAATTGATGAGGGGAAAAGGGTGAGTGGTGCACTTAGGAGTCTGTGGAGACAAAGAACTTTGTCCTTGGAGGCAAAGAGGGGAATGTATGAGAGTATAGTTTTACCAATGCTCTTATATGGGTGTGAAGCATGGGTGATGAATGTTGCAGCGAGGAGAAGGCTGGAGGCAGTGGAGATGTCATGTCTGAGGGCAATGTGTGGTGTGAATATAATGCAGAGAATTCGTAGTTTGGAAGTTAGGAGGAGGTGCGGGATTACCAAAACTGTTGTCCAGAGGGCTGAGGAAGGGTTGTTGAGGTGGTTCGGACATGTAGAGAGAATGGAGCGAAACAGAGTGACTTCAAGAGTGTATCAGTCTGTAGTGGAAGGAAGGCGGGGTAGGGGTCGGCCTAGGAAAGGTTGGAGGGAGGGGTAAAGGAGATTTTGTGTGCGAGGGGCTTGGACTTCCAGCAGGCATGCGTGAGCGTGTTTGATAGGAGTGAATGGAGCCAAATGGTTTTTAATACTTGACGTGCTGTTGGAGTGTGAGCAAAGTAACATTTATGAAGGGGTTCAGGGAAACCGGCAGGCCGGACTTGAGTCCTGGAGATGGGAAGTACAGTGCCTGCACTCTGAAGGAGGGGTGTTAATGTTGCAGTTTAAAAACTGTAGTGTAAAGCACCCTTCTGGCAAGACAGTGATGGAGTGAATGATGGTGAAAGTTTTTCTTTTTCGGGCCACCCTGCCTTGGTGGGAATCGGCCAGTGTGATAATAAATAAATAAAAAATTGCCAAAAAAGGTGGTAAGGATGATTAAAGAAATTTGTAAGCATTATTAAGTGTATTTTGCTATGACTTGAAGGTTATGGTAACAGTGTTTTCATATTTCTTATTCCTTTACTTTTAAGAAAAGTTATTTTCAAGTACATAAATAGTGCAAAGCAATAACTGACTGAAAGTTACACCACAACTGTATTTATTAACTTTATTTTTATTTTTTCATGACAGTCAACCTTTATGTGTCTGACTGGAACACTGTCCCTGGCTTACTTCATCCACAACTGTGTTGTAACCATCATGCAGGGCAACAGACATCAAGAAAACAATGTGAGATATGTAAAACATATTTATTTTATAATTACAGTATTCTTTCTTTCTTTCAACACACTGACCGTATCCCACCGAGGCGGGGTGGCCCAAAAGGAAAAACGAAAGTTTCTCCTTTCAAATTTAGTAATATATACAGGAGAAGAGGTTACTAGCCCCTTGCTCCCGGCATTTTAGTTGCCTCTTACAACACGCATGGCTTACGGAGGAAGAATTCTGTTCCACTTCCCCATGGAGATAAGAGGAAATAAACAAGAAGAAGAATTAGAAAGAAAATAGAAGAAAACCCAGAGGGGTGTGTATATATATGCTTGCACATGCATGTGTAGTGTGACCTAAGTGTAAGTAGAAGTAGCAAGACGTACCTGAAATCTTGCATGCTCATGAGACAGAAAATAGGACACCAGCAATCCTACCATCATGTAAAACAATTACAGGCTTTCGTTTTACACTCACTTGGCAGGACGGTAGTACCTCCCTGGGCGGCTGCTGTCTACCAACCTACTACCTAGGAATTACAGTATTAATATACATAAAATTCAATAGATTTTTTCTTTCATTTTTTTTTATATTTACTTAAAATGGTATATAATATGTCATTGTGAAAAGTCAGCTTTTACTATTGTGGTTCACTGTTTTCAAAACATGAAATCTGAAGAATTGAAGGTATGATAATAGTTCTATCCAATCTGTTAAAAGAAAAAATGTTTTATAGATATTTATCCTTGTGAGATTATGTATCTCATAGGAAACTCGTATTCCTCTGTTCATGTCAAAGTTTGGGGATCAGACATAAAATTTGACAATTATTGCAATAAGTAATTAATTATCTCCATGGGGAATTGGAAAAGAGTTCTTCTTCCTTAAGCCATGCGTGTTGTAAGAGGCGACTAAAATGCTGGGAGCAAGGGGCTAGTAACCCCTTCTCCTGTATATATTACTAAATTTAAAAAGAGAAACTTTTATTTTTATTCTTAGGTCACCCTGCCTCAGTGGGATATAGCTAGTTTGTTAAAAAAAAGTAATTAACAAATGGAAATAGCTTATTGTTATAAGTTTGCCTTTGTTTTTTTTTTTCATGGATAAGGGTTCCTATTAGTGATTAAAATCTGATTGTTTCTTTATGCATTGTTTGTTTCAGGTAGATGTTTGCTATTGAAGTTCAGTATCTCCCTGATACTACTCTATGTCTAGTGTTTACCTAAGCTAGGTTATAAACAGAGGAGGTTTCTTGTACACTGAAGTGTGATCTTTGTTTAACCCTTAAACGGTCCAAATAGATCGACGTTCAAATCCATAGTGCTCCAAAAGTAGATCTGTTTTTTTTTACATGTTTTCAAATATAAAAAAAAATGTAAAAAATGTAAAAAAAAAAAAAGATGTACATTTTTTTACATACTTACAAATGTTGAAAAAACATATATATACGTTTGGACCGTTTAAGAGTTAAGGATCATCTTGATTATTAGTATAGTATACTATTGATTCATAAAAGAGCAATAAAAGGATAATCTTTAAATCCAACTAAAACATTAAATCCCACAACACTTGTGTTAAGATCAAACAAAATGGAATGTGTGAGGTTGAGTTACCTTGCACACTGGTATCTGGTAAAGTGGGAGATGGATCAGTAAGGCAGGCCAGCTCTATTTCCAAAGGATCCTTGAAGATGCCAAATACAGTAGCAATGTGTACACACATTAAATTTCAGGAAATGTTTATTGTAACTGTTAAATAGTTTTGCAAAATAAACTTGGAAATTGCATGTATAACAGGAACAAATGACATTAGTAGCAGATTTTTGTTTTACTTGCTAGGTACGAGATGTGACTGTTGCCTACGTCTTGGTCGCTGCAACTTATATTCCCATTGGTGTATTTTTCTACTCCACTTTCCCGCTTCCAAAGTATTGTGTTGTTGATGTAAGTTATGTATGCATTTTATATTTGTATCAAATTTATAAATGGGGTTGTAAAAGGAGTAAATGCTAGGGTGTTGGGGAGAGGGGTGGGATTAAATTATGAGGGATCAAATACAAAATGAGAGTTGACACAGTTACTTTTTGCTGATGATACTGTGCTTTTGGGAGATTCTGAAGAGAAGTTGCAAAGGTTAGTGGGTGAGTTGGGGAGCATGTGTAAAGGAAGAAAGTTGAAAGTGAACATAGATAAGAATATCAAACAAAGTAGGTAAAGAAAAATTGATATCAGATTGGAGGGAAGGAGTATGGAAGAAGTGGGAAGGGGAAGAAGGAGAGCCTAGTTAACCAGACTTGAGTCCTGAAGGTGGGAAGTACAATGCCTGCACTTTAAAAGAGGGGTTTGGGATATTTGCTGTTTAGAGTGATATCTAAACTGTTCTACCTGTACACTTCTGCAAAGACAACGGTTATGTGAATGGTGGTAAAAGTGTTTTCTTTTTTTTTTGGATCACCCTGCCTTAGTGGGAGACAGCCACCTTGTTAAAAAAAAAAATAAAATTGCAAGATTGGAGATTTAAAATTAATGAAAAAAAAATTGTCCAAAAATATATTAGTAGTAGTACAGTGGACCCCCGCATAACGATCACCTCCGAATGCGACCAGTTATGTAAGTGTATTTATGTAAGTGCGTTTGTACGTGTATGTTTGGGGGTCTGAAATGGACTAATCTACTTCACAATATTCCTTATGGGAACAAATTCGGTCAGTACTGGCACCTGAACATACTTCTGGAGTGAAAAAATATCGTTAACCGGGGGTCCACTGTATTTGAATAACAATACAGCCTCTGCTCACTTAGTGATGTACTCATTTACCGATGCCACGGACTTATAACCGGCCCTCTGACCAGTATTCATACCTAAATAATGTACATTAGAGCTGATTTCCTCTATTCTGTTTATTTCATTATACAGCACACTACTGTATAAACACATAAAAATATACCAGGAAAGTTATAAATGGTGCAAAGGCGACATTAAAACATTATCAAAGATGGTTGACACAAACTCACTGCTATTATAGTATGCTCCTCACTTAGCGACAAATTCGTTTAACAGTGTGGTCTTAGGAACGGAACTCCGTCGTTAATTGAGGAGAGGCTATATTGAAAGAGTGCAGATGTGTGTAGCATGGGTCGTCAGATTTTCTTTAAATTAATGTTTAGAAAAAGACATACACCATACATGTGTACTACATTGAGTGGTAAGAACATTTTTTTTTTTTTCCTGCATGCATGCGTGCAGTATGTTCTTTGATTCAGACCAACATTGAGGCTGTTATGAAAGTTCCTGGTTCAGGCATATACAGAATAGAAGTGGTTAGTTGTACTACTAGTTTAATGTGATGCTAATGAACATAGAATAGAATTTAAAAATTTTCAGTATCTCAGATTCTCATTTTCCTTGAAAGTTGGAAATGATGAAAATATTGTTTGGGTAAGTAAATTAACCCTTTGACTGTTTTGGTCATATATATACGTCTTACGAACCACCGTGTTTGACTTATATATACTCATAAATTCTAGTGGCTTCAAATGAAACAGGAGAAAGCTGGTAGGCCCACATGTGAGAGAATGGGTCTGTGTGGTCAGTGTGCACCATATAAAAAAAATCCTGCAGCACGCAGTGCATAATGAGAAAAAATAACTCCAACAGTTTTTTGGATTAAAACGCCGACTTTGTGGTGTATTTTCATATAGTATTTATGGTTGTATTCTCGTTTTCTTGGTCTCATTTGATAGAATGGAAAGCATATTATAGAAATAGAGGTGATATTGATTGATTTTACCATGAAAAGAACCTTGAAATGGAGCTCAAAGTAGGGGAAATGTTTGATTTTTGCCAATGTTCAAAAGTAAACAAATGATGTCATTGTTCAATAAATGTCCAACTGACCATTCTAATATGCAGTGATGAATGGGTTGACATTATTTATACAATTATTACAATATTGCAGCAGTCTGCATAACAGTAAATCTCCTATTTTTTGTTTGAATAAAAATTCAAAATAGAGAGCAAGAGTAATATCAGAGGGGCCCAGAGATGTGACTGATGAACAAAGAAAATGTTATTTTAGAGCCAGGAACGTCTGCATTGTTCATTCTGGACCCTATTTTGAAATTGGCATATTTTTTAATTTGCTTGAAATTGGCCAAATTGCAAATTTTTGACCACGTTATTGGGTAGTTGAAATTGGTAAATGGGCAGTTTCTTGTGCTCAATCGATAGAACAAGTGGAGTTCTAAATAGCTATGAGTTTGGTCGACTGGAACAATGGAATTAGCCGAAAATAGGGCTCAAAGTGGGCAAAATTGCCGATTCGTAAATATCACCGAGGTCACTAACTTCCCGAGAGTGTAACTCCATAAGTTTTCCATCAAATTTCGTTCTTTTGGTGTCATTCAATCGGGAAAAGATTCTCTATCATTTCATAAGAAAAATCATTTTTTTCTGAAATTTTTGCGACACAAGGAGACACCTCAGGATTTGGGGTCGCGACAGTCAAGGGGTTAAAACTGTAACTACATTCATGTACAGTATTGTTAGAATTTTTACAAGAAATTCATTAGCAGTTAATCAGTGTTCTTCATTACAGAATTTCCTGGATAATTTTCCTCCGCACGATGTGGTGCTGGCGGTAGTCCGTGGCTTCCTCTTCTTCCAGATTCTCACAGTGTACCCCCTACTTGGGTTCTTCATCCGCAACCAACTGTTCACATACTTCATGGGCCCCACCTATGAATACAAGCTGTGGAGGGTTATTGTGCTCAACACCTGCTTGATAACTCTCTCAGTGATGGTCGCTGTCCTCTACCCTAACATTGGTTTCATCATTCGGTAAGTCTGTGCTGCTGATGTTGGTGCAAGCAGCACAGTTTCATGCTGTGTTTTTATTATGGAGAAGTGCTAAACATGTAAGGGTCATGTAGCACCTGGGGAACGAGGGCATGTTTGATTTGAGAAAGGGGGTATAACAATAATAAGTATTATTATTATGCCCCCTGAGGAGGAAAGGGAGAGTGGCTCTAATTTCTAGGATCAAGAGCAGTTCACCAGCATTAAGGGGCATGTAAGTTCCTCTGTCTTCTAATAACATGTTCATTTTTCCACTATAATCTACCGTGTCCATAATTACTATTGCATTTGTTTTGTCTGTTTCATAAGGTGAAGTCTAAGATCTTTCCTTAATTTGTGGTGTAACTTAACAAATCTTGGAGGACAATTGTGTTGCTGTAACACTTAATTTCTGGTGGCCCTCCAGCTGGCAGAGGCCCCTCAGCTGCAGCCCCTAAAGCCCATGCCTTACTCCGTCCCTGTTTGAGCCACAAGCCTGAGGAGATGTACAGTATCTTTATAATTTTTCTTTTTGTCCTCAGGTGGATTGGTGCTATATCTGGATTAGCATACATCTTTGTTCTTCCCTGTGTCACCTACATGGTCGCACTCTACTCAAAAGACCAGCTTCAGTGGTACCAGTTAGTGTTTCATTGTGGCATTATATTATTAGGAATTGGCAATTTTGTTTGTCAGTTCCTTATTAAGTAACTAATGCTAATAAATATTATGTATAAAATTTTGTTGTAAAAGAAAATTTGTATAGCAAATTGAGATCAGCTAAGAGTAAGTTTAGATCTGCCTTGATAACATCACTGCCATGTGCAGTGTTGCTAAAACTTGCCGTTATTATTATTACTCTTATTATGTAATTATTATTATTATTATTCTGGACTCCTGCAATAACATGAGAGGGGTGTCAGCCATAGCTTATAACACATTTTTTTTTTAAATTTATACATTTTTTGTTATAAAAAGTACAGAATATCATTGGCTTTCTTTTCAATGATTACAGCATGCAGAAAACATTATCTTAGACTCGTGTTCAATTTTATTAGCTACTCTCGAACAAAGGTATTTTTATGCTGTGTTCAGTTATATTCTAATATGAAGGATATTGAACTTGCTGTTTTTAGTATTCCATTGTATCTGTTTATTTTGAGCAGATTTCACTACATTTTAGCTGTATGGCTTACATATAGGAAAAACCTAAGGTATATTGTTACTTTTCTTTAACCATATTTGCCAACTCCTACCAAGGTGACCCCAAGAAAGAAAACACATTCACCATCATTCATTCAATAGTTATATTTATTAATTTTATACTTGGCTATTGGCTAGGTATTCATATTGGTAACTACTTTTTAGGTAATTCTTATAGCTGGTAAGAAAGGCCAAGGGAAATCTTACAGTGGTACTGAGGTATAGGGCAACAAATAACACTCATGAAACTCAGATTATTCAGGTATTTCTTGTCATAGACTATTACGTACTGTGTTAATGTATTTTGTTATATATTTAGGTAAACTAGCATTTAAGCTTTGTATTAGGAATGAAGAGGATGATCAGACATATAAATGAGGCAGAGGACATGCACAACAATTATCACAGGTGAGACATGAAGAACACTTTACCAAAGAAGATATAAATTAAGAATGTTCTTTCTGTTGGCTGTTGGCAAAATATACTGTGTATAATGTATTATACATTATGGGACAATAATAACACTAGTATCAGCAGTGTGAAAACGAAAGTTTAGTTTTTATTGTCATTGTAAAATAATTTTGAAGAATATGTACCCTGAGTAGCTCAGGACTCTGGCATAGCACAAATAGAACTTTTTGAAATCCAAATTTCTGAAATATTAGTATCTATGTGAAAATATACATTAGTACATTACATGCAGTGGAACCTCAGTACTCGAACTTAATTTGTTCCAGAAGGCTGTTCGAGTACTGAACGAATTTTTACCAACCAATTTTCTTTTTGGTTGGCTGTTATCACTAATCTTCGTAGGCCCCATGGTGACTTATTTATACAAATAATATAAAAAACTGCCAAAAAATGTGAAGAAACACGAAATACTTTATAACAAAGTTCTGGCAGGTCGTGTTTGTTTGGTTGAGTGCCGAGCAAACTGTTGACTACCAAGCAATTTTTTTTACCCAACAGAGTGTTCAAATACCGAGTTGTTCGAGTATGGAGCTGTTCAAGTACCGAGGTGACCCTTGTATACTGTATATAGTTATTTTATGAAATAACTGATGATATATAATTGATGAGGCATTGGAAATGGTATACAAATGATAAAATTTGGAAGTGAACACAGAAAAACAAGGTGAATGATATTTCATAGAAGTATAGAGAATGATAGGTCAGGATGGGAAGCAGTGTGCAAGAAGGCCATCAATACTTGGGGATGGATATATCAGTAGATTGGTCTCTGGAAATTAAGATAAGTTACAAAATGGAAGATAGTTGAAGGAGTTATGAGGAATTTCTGGAAAGAAAGCTTAGTTTTTAAATTTGTAGTAAGGATATTAGAGATAAGGTGCAGTATAATTTTTGAGATGACTGTGTAGAAAGAGAATTATATTAAAAGAAATGAAGGAATTAAAGACAGGTTATGGTATACAGTAATTCAGAGTGGAAAATAGGTTATTGAGATGGTTTGGTTATGTAGAAGGTATGAGCAAGACAAGCTGGTGAAAAGGATGTACAATGTAGAACTGGGGTTGATGGAAAGAAATGCAGGAGGGAAGTGTGAAAAATAATGCGACAGGTTCGAATAATCTATAGAATTTGATGATTTGTTGAAGCATAAGTTTGGTAATATTTGTGAAGGAGCTCAAAAACTTAAATCCAATACTGGTAAGTTGATTAAGATAAACGTGCAACATTTGTATCTTTTTTTTTTTTTTTTGTCTAGAAGAATTGCCAAAGACTTCACCTGCACCATGGTCTTGCTGTGTCAGACATGTAGTGTCGTGTTGTTGATGGTATACAAAAAGGATATCCAAGTGTTGCACATTTGTCTTATTCATATCCATTTTATTTGCGCTTCAAAACCTTTTCACTACAATTTAATCTAACCTAGATAACTCGACTCACGAAATCATAATGACACGATTGCAAACAAACCATACCACGGTCTGGAGTTTTGAGACTGATCGCGGGTTCAAACTCCACCCGTGGTATGGTTTAACCTAAATAACATATATAGAATTTTTTTCTCTCAAAATAGTACTACATTAGAAATCAGAGCTTGCTTTAGAAGGGCGGCGTGTATTATTTGCATTCGTGAAGAAGCTAACCCATGTGAATTGTACTGCGCTATGAGTATGGAAGGTAATCAGGCATAATTCTGTGGATCAGGAATGCTTCACCAGTACCATGGCAAACCCCACGAAGGGAACACTTGCCACCTCATATCACATTCATCGTCTGTTAGCATTGCAGTATGTTTACTATCTACAGGAGGCACTATATGGCAGTAGTGTGTTATGAAAAAATTGCTAAGGCAAGCAAATGAAATTTAGATCTTTTGAAAAAGCTGAGTATTACAACCCAGACACAATAAGGCCTGTTATCCTGGGTATAAAGGGGAGCAAGAAGCAGAACAAACACAGCTGAATGACTTTGAAATATATTTTCCTTCACCAAGAGTGATAGCAAGTATTTGCACTTATGTACACTATATACAGTAGGAAATGTATGTGTAAACACGGTTAGTCAAAGGCAAAGACACAGCCTGGAGACAGAATGGACAACCGTGCTCAACCAGCTCTAGAATGGAAATGACAAGGGTGGACAGGTGAGTGGTGACCACGACACCTCCACAATTGCTAGACTCGCCTTTTCATTGGCTAAATCTAGATACTGATCCGACGATGGGGCCCCGATCATCCGATCCTTAGCATCTGGTTCGCTGGTTAGGGAGGTAGCCTTTTAATGAGGGTGTGTACGTGCTCTGAATAAAGGTTGAGCTCTACCTAAGAGTTGGATTGTTGAGAAGAAAGGCGGTCCCATTATACATTGCCATGGTGGCACTTTCTACCTATTGGAGGTGGGAGCCTATTCCTGAGCCCTCTCGGGGTGGGGGTTTGGCATGCAAAGAGTACGTAACCTTTATTCAGAGCATGTACACACCCTCATTAAAAGGCTACTTTCCCAACCAGTGAACCAAATGCTAAGGATCGGACGATCGGGACCCCATCATCGGATTAATATCTAGATTCAGCCAATGAGAAGGTGGGTCTGGCAATTGTGGAGGTGTCATGGTCACCACTCACCTATCCACCCTTGTCATTTCCATTCTAGAGCTGGTTGAACACCGTTGTCCATTCTGTCTCCAGGCTGTGTCTTTGCCTTTGACTAACACTGTTGTACACATACATTTCCTACTGTATATAGTGTACATAAGTGTAAATACTTGCTGTTGCTCTTGGTGAAGGAAAATATATTTCAAAGTCATTCAACTGTGTTTGTTCTGCTCCTTGCTTCCCTTTACACCCAGAATAACAGGCTTTATTGTGCCTGGGTTGTAATACTGAGGTACGAATATTAATATTTGTTTTTATTGATTAATAGTTCAGTGGAATTCCTCTTGACTCTCAAGCAAATGATCCATAATTTTGCTGTAAAATTCTGGCTTGCTCTAAAGATTTTGCAATAATTCCTATTAAGTTGATAAAAAGACAGTGCTTTGAAATATTTTTTGACACTGATAATTCTTAGTGATTTTAATTTGTTTCAAAGCAGAGCAGCTGTTTTACAGATGCAGTCTTTGCTGGAACCATTAATTTCCAAAAAATAGCTTTGTAACTGTAAACCTTTTCCAAGTCATCTAATTTTAAAATATGTTTTCATTTATTTCTTACTCTTACTTCTCCTATCTGTTCTCCATGATTCTTCACATCTTTCTCACTATTTGTTCATACTAAAGGGTAGCTTTCATTCTTCCCTTAAAATCTTATTGACCAGTGTAAGCAAGTGAGATTACTTCACTCTGTAGACAGACCAGCATGTAGACTTGAAATGTAGGTTTTTCAGCTCCTTCTAAAGCCTCTGGAAGGCATTTAATTATCCAGAGAAGAGTCTGCATGTAGCTTTGTACTCATGGTATCAAAGATAGAATTATGAATGTCTGTATTTATATATAAACACATTCCTGTTTATATACTGCACAGTGCACATTTTTACATATGATAAATGTTTAACGTTTGCACATATAAATGTACTGAACATGTATTTATTCTTATTAATGAATGTTTTGTGCATGAATTCATTCCTACATATTGATGTAAATGTATTTATTCTTTCAAACAAATGAACACGCCTTCATTTTTGTTGATTACTGTATCATAAAGAAATGAACTTTTATGCATACTTACATCATACGAATACAGTATACATATTTATCATGTAAATGGCTTTTCACCTCATGTATACTATGTTGATATTAATCCTTTTTCCCCCCCAACAGGTCTGCTCACTCAGTATTACATGTCTTTTGTATATACAGTATCTTTTATTGGTTATTATGTAATGTACATGATACAGAGTGGCCTAAACCTATGAACAAGTTATGATTATCCACAGTTACGAATGCTAATCTGCAGTTACAAACATTTGAGAGACGGTGGGAGACAACCGACTTGTTGAAAAAAAAAAAAAAAAAAAAAAAAAAACTATCCTTTGTATTATTTTGTCTGTATTATTCAGAGTCAGAGGTAACTTGTTCATCTGTTAAAACACCAGGAGCAAAATGCATCATTTGTAAGTTAGGACCACCTCCCCATGTGTATGCTGTTTATATTATACATTTGAACAGTGTAATATTATTGATGGTGAAAATGTTTAAACTAGAAATGTGAAATAATAACTTCTGATTTCTGAAATTATAGATTAGTATTTCCACAGTTTGTTTTGATCATTTACAGTAACAGTCTTGCATTGTGACCCCCCTCATCCTCATCAGTGAGGATGAGAGGGATCAGGGCAAGGGTTAATAATGATGATATTTAATTTATGCATTAATTGACCATTTATATTATTCACTTATAGTGTACAGTATTTACTGTACGTGATTATCACCAATGGTTTTTGTATCCAAAATGTTGACCATCTCAAAAATTGGATCTGCATAATCAGTTAAGCTTTCTTTTGTGTGAATAATTGAATCAGTGAGATCCATCTTGATCAGCCCTGGAGTGTATAGATTCAACAGGTACTGTTGAGGTGAAACCAGAATCTTCCTGTGTTGCCTTCCAAACTGTATATTTATTTGTGGTGTTCTGGAAGCAGTTTGTGAGAATTGTCTGTGTATATGTACTGTACATATGAGAAGTGTCACAACTGATCCTTGTCTGCTATGGCATCTACTCTCCCACACTTGGCACACCAAACTAATCCACAGCTTAACTAGTTAACTTACTAAAACTCATGCTAGTCTAAATTAATGATGGGGATATACATGGAAGAGATAGACAGGAAATGATCAGCACACTTCATGAATAGATAATTTTGTGCATTAAGTTGTAAAATGTGTGCTTGAAATTTGCCTTTTTTTAAATTGGTATACCAAGTTAATAATAATGCTTGTTATTAAATGCTGGGAAAGACACTACCATTGTGCACAAACTCAAATGTTTTTAATAAAAAAAGAAACATGTCCACATGTGTATTATTGTGAACAGTACAGCAATTGCTCTCTTAACCTGACTTAAGGGGACCTGGGTTGATTAACATTAACACAGGCATAGCAGTATTCAGAGTAGAATTTTATTAACTAATTTAATGCATAATTGTCAGTTTTGTTGCTCTTCTTAACCCGTTCAGGGTCAGAACCCAATCTGAAACTTGCTCTCAGTGCTGGAGAATTTAAAAAAAAAATTCTTATGAAATGAGAGAATCTTTTTTTTGAAGGTAATGAAACCAAAAGGATGAAAATTGATGGAAAACTTACAGAATTACGCTCTTGCAAAGTTAGCAGTCTTGGTGATGTTTACACATCGGTGATTTCACCCACTTTGAGTGGGCCAGTTCCATTGTTCTAGTCAATCACACTCATAACTGTTTCAACTAGGTAAAAGAAACTGCCCATTTACCTATTTCAAATACCTAATAAAATTATTATAAATTGGTAATTTTGCCAATTTCACACAAAATTAAAAAATTGCCAGTTTCAAAATAGGGTCTAGAATAAACAGTGTTAACATTCCTGGCACTAAAACATTTCCTCTGTTCATCAGTCACATCCTCAGGTCTCTTCTATATTACGCTTGCTTATCATTTTGAATTTTAAGCAGACTATACATTATTTTAATAATTGTATAAATAACGTCAGTGCATTTCTAGACATATTAGACCAACCAGTTGGACGCATATTGAACGAGTGACGTAATTTGTGTATTCTGGAATATTGGCAAAAATCAAACATTTCTGCTACTTTGAGCTCAATTTCAAGCACTTTCACTTGAGACTGATCAAAATCATCTCTATTTCTGTAATATATCTTCCATTCTATAAAATGAGATCAAGAAACTGAGAATGTGAGAACAAAAATCATGTGAAAATACACCACAAAGTCGCTGTTTTAAACCAAAAAACATTCATTTTTTTTCTCATTATTCTCTCATGTCTAGACCTAAATTTACTGCTCACCACTTATCTGAGTGAGCCGAGCTCATGGCATAGAACAACAGGACTGACCTGTGCTTCAAAGCCGTAGGACAACGGGACCTATCCCGAAGGGGTTAATGCATTTGACTCATAAACAAAGAAAAAATAATGCATTATCAATTTAGAAAATGGATCCCAATTAAATTAAAAATGTGTTTGACACCTACATGTCATACAGCATTAAGCAATTTTTTTTTTTTTTAAATTTTATCCAGTTTTGGCTATTTCTCTTTACTCAAAACTAGTCAGTTGTCCAATTTCATATTCAAACCAGCAAGTGCATTATTAAGAGAGAATTCCAAGGATAGAGAATATCAGTTAATTGAGCGATCATTGCTCTGTTACTACTAACAGAATCTCTTATGATTTTTAATCATTAAAACTGTTTTCCCATATAAAAAGCCTAAATTATAACCTAAATACGTACTGTACTGTAGTCGAGTCTTGATAGGTTTTTGACATATAACCTGCTAGAAATGAGGCTTTGTATTTGTAGTACAGGAGGGGCCTCACTTATACATCAGGTTAGGTTCTGGACTACTGCTGTAAAGTGAGCCATAGTTATTTTTTTTCCACTTTTAAAGGAATATAAAATCCTCAAAACTTGCTTACATTATCATATATTAAGTGAGCAGTATAGCTAAGCCTAAAAAATGCATGTACAGTATACACATTACTTACCTTAAAATATTTTTGTTCTTGGCTTATAGTGAGTGGTGAATATATTTATTGTAGAAAGTCTGAATAAATGAAGAATGGGTATGATGAAAAACTGCTGTGTAAGTGAAACACTGTAAAGTGGGGCCTTCCTGTGTACTTTAATAACATTGATGATGCTTATTAAACTCATGAAGATTGTTCAGTTAGAATATTGTAATGAACAGTTTACAGTGTTATTCAAATGTGTTAACCTTTGCTCATTGTTTTAATGACATTTGTACAAGATGAGATGTTAAAATCTTCTTAGTAATTTTCCTCAAGGGATATGTTGTGATGCTGGGTAGGGGATCTTGATACAAGGAAGTGAACCTGTTCTCTCCTGATTGCCTTCCATTCCCAGTGCACTGTATGATCCCCCAATTATAATAATATTGACTGTTGTTTTAAAGATAATTGTAGAAAAGGTTTTAGATTTTTTTAACACATCGGCAACTAGGTTTGATACAAGGGAAGCACAAGCCCAATTCCCTAAATCAAGAGCCCTTCACTAGCATCCAGGTATCTCCTTTGAAGGAATTAAACAAGGTTTCTTGATGCTAGTGAGGGGCCCTTGATCCAAGGTGTTCGACCTGACAGTCCTAAACTTGGATTGAAACTGATTATCTCCTGTTTCCCTAAGCTCTGTATAACCCATATAGGTGTGTGACACCCCCCAACCCAGAATGTAATAATGATATTTTTTATATTTGTACATAACTAAAGTTCTACACTACAGTGTGACTTAACACTTTTATTTTTTTATATTTACACTAAGCAAGATTCAGATAAATTTTTTATCTACTAAAGATAAAATTGGAAATACATGAATATATTTGTGTACTGATTCATCTAGAGAGATGCCCAAATTTTGGGGCAAGACTTTATCCAAGGAATTGAGCCTATCCTCCTTTCCTTGAACCTGATTGCCTCCCACTTTCCCAGGCACTATAGGACTCCTACAGGTTTAGCACTCCCCAAGAATGGAGTATTTACTAAAATCCTTGAGATGTTATCTCTGGTAATTTTGTGATGTACTTTCATTTTGCAACAAAATTTTTGAGTAATTTTGATTGAAAACTTTGTTGTGGAATGAAACATTTTCTAATCTTCCAACCAACTATGAATTGCATCAAAGGTGTAGTTCAGTGATGTTTAGGTCTGAAGTAAAATTATTGTAATCATGGGGAAAGTGCTTAACCCATAGAGAACCATGCAGTATTTGGGAAATGGGAGGTAATTAGGTTTTATCCAAGGAAGTGTAGTCCCAGTTACTTGAATCAAGAGCCTTTCACCATCTTCAAGGTACTTACCTGGAAGAAAGAGGCATTAAAACTACAGCATATACATATATAAGATTTATTAATATATTTAGTAATCAAAATTACCTCTTAACTGTGACCTATTCTCACTTGTAGTCTGCACTGTACAGTGTTTATCACTAAAGTATGTCGGGTAGAGGCACCCAGTACAGTTTATTAATACCTGACCCTGTCATGTGTGTGCTAATACATCAAAAATTAATGCCGGCCTGGCAACACTTACGTGGGATGTCACAGGACTCCCTAAGGCTGCTGGCTGCATGCTTAGTGCCTTCTAGGGTTGTGTAGTGGATGTATAATTGTCTGTGATACAGTGTGGTCTTGAGTAGTATTAAGCTTGTCAAACTTGTTTGGTTATAGACAAATTAATATAGGCAAGACTAAGTTGCTGACACAATACACAATTACACATCATTGGATTACATAAGGCAGGCCATCAAATGGAGGGAATAGAAGGCATAGTTGGGTGGTACAGTGAGGCACTGGTTGTATTAGTTTTGTGACAGTGGTTGACAAGCCCATGCCAAGAGCACCTCCAAAGAAGCCTAGACAAATGTCTCCATGTATAATAACTGTAATAAAAGTATTACAGGTAGCATATATGAAAAAGTTTGTCTAGGCTTAATCTAGGCTTTCATGTCATCACTGCTGTCATGGAACCGAAGCACCCAATTCCTCACTTAACACACATATGACAATGCCCCTCTATTATTTTCTTTATGTAATCCAAAGACCTGTGCAATTCTCTGTTGTCAGTAACTTATTCTTGCCCATATTAATTTGTCAATAGCAAAAAAGGTCTGACGAACTCAGCATTCAAGACCACATAATGCAGGGAGACCAGAGAGACATCCATCTACTGCACAAACCTAGAAGGCACTGAGCATGTAACCTGTAGACTTAGGAATTTTATGTCCCACTACATGTTGCCAGGCCGGCATTAATTTCTGTTGTACCGAAACACGTACTATAATCAAAAGAAGTGCTACACCTACAAGGGCCACTGAAGCACATAACAAAGATATTATTTATATATTAAAGCATGCCAGGGCTCTTCCACTTGGCATACTGGAATGAACACTGTGATTGTTTGAAGCTCTCTCTTACTTGCCATCAGAATAACTAATTTTATAATGTAGCTTATAAATAAACCATATTGCATACAGTACATTTTTTTCCTTCCCTACCCATATTTTCCGTCACATTTGATGTGTGGTTCATGACTTTATGACAAAGATAGTAGATTCATCACATAAATTAAGCTCCAGTAACTAAGATTAACACACTAATGGTGCCTTGATGCTGGCATAGGGCTCTTGATCCAAGAAATTAGAAGTTTTTTTTTTTTATTAATCCTGAATGTTTTTTTACCAAACACTGTATTACCCTATAGGTACAGTATATACTTATGATTATAATACTACATCACATCATTAGAGATGAACACTCCACAAATGTTATCTACCCTATAATGTACATATTGTATTAACAAAAGTGTGAACATTTGCTCTTTACAAGTAGCAACAAATTATTACATTCACTGAGTAGCACTAACCCTAAAGAGGTCTTACAGTGCTTGTGGAGCAAGAGGTAATCCAGTTCAAGAGGGTAGCTCCAACTCCTTGTATCAAGAGTCCTTCATGAAGCATTAAGGCACATCCTCCTCTGAAGAATGTAACAATTAAGTAATCATCTGTTTATATCTGGCCTTTAAGAAATTTTGCATTATCTATTATCTTCTTCTGTTGTACCATAAATTCATCAATGAATGGGTACACTTTGATGTTACTGGTCTTCATCCCATGAGAGTCGTAGCAGAATATCTTGAGACATCGATCACACACATGAGCATTTGGTATTGGAAACTGAGGCTCATCCATCACTATCCAGCTAAAAAAAAAATACATATATATATTTATGAATGTGTTGCATACTATTTTAGCTATGTGACAGCCATGCTATTACAGAACCTTCCTAGCACAAACCAGAAGGCCGGCTGCAATGTTCCTGTTCTTAAACTCTTACTAAATTAGACAACTACTTCAGATGTGATTAGACTTCAATAATGTGGTTAAATAAGTGGCCAGAGTAAAGCATTTTAAGATTTTAAAGATTTTACATATGGCCACCCATCAAGCCCTCAAGGAAATTACAGGTTTTTCTATATAGTCCAGCTAGAAATTATTTTATGTCAGTATTACAATGTGGATAGGAGCTATCACTGAAATGTGTCAATTAAGCATGAAACTGATGGTTTCTATGAAAATTTAGGTAGGTATTCAGGATGTGCAATGGTGAGAGGAATGCATGAAGGCTAGTAACCCATGATCACACTAAGTACACATTCCTGTGTCTAAGTTATTTACTTACCCTTGGATTATGTGGTAAAATAAAGGTTGGATGTGAAAAGTGGGTTATAGTAAGCATATATGCACCTGGAGAAGAGAGAAGTGTAGAGGAGAGAGATTTTGGGAAATGTTGAGTGAATGTGGGGGGAGTTTTGAGCCAAGTGTGAGAGTAATGGTGGTTGGGGATTTCAATGCTAAAGTGGGCAAAAATGTTGTAGAGGGAGTAGTAGGTAATTTTGGGGTGCCAGGGGTAAATGAAAATGGGGAGCCTTTAACTGAGCTATGTGTAGAAAGAGGTTTGGTAATAAGTAATACATATTTTATGAAGAAGAGGATAAATAAATATACAAGGTGTGATATAGCACATAATGAAAGTAGTTTGTTAGATTATGTATTCGTGGATAAAAGGTTGATGGGTAGGCTCCAGGATGTACGCGTTTATAGAGGGGCAACTGATATATCGGATCATTATTTAGTTGTAGCTACAGTAAGAGTAAGAGGTAGATGGGAAAAGAGGAAGGTGGCAACAACAAGCAAGGAGGAGGTGAAAGTGTATAAACTAAGGGAGGAGGATGTTCGGGTGAGATACAAGCAATTATTGGCAGAAAGGTGGGCTGGTGCAAGTATGAGTAGTGGGGGGGGGGGTTGAAGAGGGTTGGAATAGTTTTAAAAATGCAGTATTAGAATGAAGGGCAGAAGTTTGTGGTTATAGGAGAGTGGGTGCAGGAGGAATGAGGAGTGATTGGTGGAATGATGAAGTAAAGGGTGTGATAAAAGACAAAAAGTTAGCTTATGAGAGGTTTTTACAAAGCAGAAGTGTTATAAGAAGAGTAGAGTATATGGAGAGTAGAAAGGTGAAGAGAGTGGCGAGAGAGTGCAAAAGGAGAGCAGATGATAGAGCGGGAGAGGCACTGTCAAAGAATTTTAATGAAAATAAGAAAAAATTTTGGAGTGAGTTAAACAAGTTAAGGAAGCCTAGAAAACGAATGGATTTCTCAGTTAAAAACAGAGTAGGGGAGTTAGTAGACAGGGAGATGGAGGTTTTGGGTAGATGGCGAGAATATTTTGAGGAACTTTTAAATGTCGACGAAGAAAGGGAAGCGGTAATTTCATGCACTGGCCAGGGAGGTATACCATCTTTTAGGAGTGAAGAAGAACAGGATGTGAGTGTGGGGGAGGTGCGTGAGGCATTATGTAGAATGAAAGGGGGTAAAGCAGCTGGAACTGATGGGATCATAACAGAAATGTTAAAAGCAGGGGGGATATAGTGTTGGAGTGGTTGGTATTTTTGTTTAATAAATGTATGAAAGAGGGGAAGGTACCTAGGGATTGGCAGTGAGCATGTATAGTCCCTTTATATAAAGGGAAGGGGGACAAAAGAGACTGTAAAAATTATAGAGGAATAAGTTTACTGAGTATACAAGGAAAAGTGTACGGTAGGGTTATAACTGAAAGAATTAGAGGTAAGACAGAATGTAGGATTGCGGATGAGCAAGGAGGTTTCAGAGTGGGTAGAGGATGTGTAGATCAAGTGTTTACATTGAGGCATATATGTGAACAGTATTTAGATAAAGGTAGGGAAGTTTTTCGGGAGCAAGGAGCTAGTAACCCCTTCTCCTGTATATATTACTAAATGTAAAAGGAGAAACTTTCGTTTTTCCTTTTGGGCCACCCCGCCTCGGTGGGATACGGCCGGTGTGTTGAAAGAAAGAAAGAAAGGGAAGTTTTTATTACATTTATGGATTTAGAAAAGGCATATGATAGAATGGATAGGGGAGCAATGTGGCAGATGTTGCAAGTACATACATGGAATAGGTGGTAAGTTACTAAATGCTGTAAAGAGTTTTTATGAGGATAGTGAGGCTCAGGTTAGGGTGTGTAGAAGAGAGGGAGACTACTTCCTGGTAAAAGTAGGTCTTAGACAGGGATGTGTAATGTCACCATGGTTGTTTAATATATTTATAGATGGGGTTGTAAAAGAAGTAAATGCTAGGGTGTTCGGGAGAGGGGTGGGATTAAATTATGGGGAATCAAATACAAAATGGGAATTGACACAGTTGCTTTTTGCTGATGATACTGTGTTCATGGGAGATTCTAAAGAAAAATTGCAAAGGTTAGTGGATGAGTTTGGGAGTGTATGTAAAGGTAGAAAGTTGAAAGTGAACATAGAAAAGAGTAAGGTGATGAGAGTATCAAATGATTTAGATAAAGAAAAATTGGATATCAAATTGGGGAGGAGGAGTATGGAAGAAGTGAATGTTTTCAGATACTTGGGAACTGACGTGTCGGCGGATGAATTTATGAAGGATGAGGTTAATCATAGAATTGATGAGGGAAAAAGGTGAGTGGTGTGTTGAGGTATATGTGGAGACAAAAAACGTTATCTATGGAGGCAAAGAAGGGAATGTTTGAAAGTATAGTAGTACCAACACTCTTATATGGGTGTGAAGCTTGGGTTGTGAATGCAGAAGCGAGGAGGTGGTTGGAGGCAGCTGAGATGTCCTGTCTAAGGGCAATGTGTGGTGTAAATATTATGCAGAAAATTCGGAGTGTGGAAATTAGGAGAAGGTGTGGAATTAATAAAAGTATTAGTCAGAGGGCTGAAGAGGGGTTGTTGAGGTGGTTTGGTCATTTAGAGAGAATGGATCAAAGTAGAATGACATGGAGAGCGTATAAATCTGTAGGGGAAGGAAGGCGGGGTAGGGGTTGTCCTCAAAAAGGTTGAAGGGAGGGGGTAAAGGAGGTTTTATGGGTGAGGGGCTTGGACTTCCGGCAAGTGTGCGTGAGCGTGTTAGATAGGAGTGAATGGAGACGAATGGTATTTCGGACCTGACGATCTGTTGGAGTGTGAGCAGGGTAATATTTAGTGAAGGGATTCAGGGAAACCGGTTATTTTTATATAGCCGGACTTGAGTCCTGGAAATGGGAAGTACAATGCCTGCACTCTAAAGGAGGGGTTCGGGATATTAGCAGTTTGGAGAGATATGTTGTGTATCTTTATAGGTATATGCTTCTAAACTGTTGTGTTCTGAGCACCACTGCAAAAACAGTGATTATGTGTGAGGTGAAAGTGTTGAATGATGATTAAAGTATTTTCTTTTTGGGGATTTTCTTTCTTTTTTTGGGTCACCCTGCCTCGGTGGGAGACGGCCGACTTGTTAAATAAAAAAAAAAATCTTTATATAATTGTTGAATATATTGATGGATAATAAAATGTGAAAAAGGTTATTAGTAAGAAAATAGTGTAATAAAGCTAAGATCTTGGTGGTGGTAGTGGTGATTTTGAAGGTCATCAGAGCGCATGCCATGCTGAGCCCTACTTCCCAGTTGAGGGAAAGTAGGGCTTAACCAAGTCAGCTACTGCCTCCCCCCCCTTCCCGAGGCCTTAGAAATGGTAGGTAATACAGTACTGTCTGCACTCAGGACGGGGGTGGGGATGTTGCAGTTGGAGGGTTATCAGATTGTGATATGAACATACTTCTGGAAAGATAGCAACTGAGTGAATGTTTTCTTCTTCGGGTCACCCTGCCTTGGCAAAGGACAGCCGTAGAGTTAAGAAAAAAATTCTTTGTTTAACCTGTTTGGCTACATGTGCAATTACGATGACTATATTAGATTATCCAGGGTTAAATCTACATTGTGTACTTTTTTGCCCATGACATCTGTAAGCCCCCAAGATACATTTCTAGATCAGCGAACAACATCTATATCAAACTTTATTTTCGATGAAATAAATAAAAAAAACTGATTGGCTTTTGGAGAGGTGCTAAGAATGTAACTATTTTTCCAATATGTTATTCATAGCGGAAGTTGCGATTTCACAAGTAATGCCAATTTCAGGCCTAAACTGCATATTTTATGGAAATTTACTGCATATCTAAGAGAAGAATATATCTAATTTTCAGAAAGGAAAGGAAATTCCAGGCATTTCAGAGTAAGTAAAAAATGATTTTCAGAGCAACACTAACTTTGCTAAGTGTAGGGAGCATATGAAGCACTTAACGGAGAGTTTTGAGGCCTGGCCACGCAGCAGTGGGTATCTGGCAGGGTCCTGAACATCATGTCGATGATGCAACCTACAAAGAATAATGAGTCAGAAAGATCAGCTGCAAAAGAAATTTAAGGGAATAAAACTGAATAATTATATCTTTTGCAAGGGGCTAGTAACCCCTTCTCCTGTATATATTACTTTATGTAAAAGAGAAACTTTCGTTTTTCCTTTTGGGCCACCCCGCCTCAGTGGGATACGGCCGGTGTGTTGAAAGAAAGAAAGAAGTTATATCTTTTTAAGTTTAACAATGACATTTTAATCCCAATGCTACCAAAATATATCCATTCAAGTTGACTTCTGATCACGTTACCATATTATTATTGCTTTTAACTCACTAGCTAATTCTTTCCATGGTATTCACAAATACCAAGAGAATTTACAATGATGACACTGCTTGCTACTGAGGATCTAGATTTTACAATGGATTATTCATGTGAAGTTTTCTAATTTCAATACCTGAACACCATTAAATAACAAAACTGCATTTTTTATGTCACAAATACTGTACACTAACCTTACATCAGTAAAGATGATGATGTGCTCACAGTTTCCCTGATGTAAAAATACATAAGGATATCCTAAACGCAGCTCCAGATCCAAGAAAATAGTTTCATGCATATTTTTGGACTGCAATTCACCTGAAAATGAAAATCCATCTTAACCTCTGGTGGTTCATTTATAATTTATTACAACATGGTTTAATTTATCAAATGCCTTTGCAAAATCTGTATAGATCACGTTGGCATTTGGTTTTCCTTTCAAAGCCTCGGTGATTTTCTCGTAATGCTGCAAGTTCTAAGAGGGTTGTTGCTCTAAAGCTATGTTGATTTTGTTTGTGTATTGTTATTATTATAATCAATGGGAAGTATTATATTGTCATACAACTGAAGAATGTGAGGTAATTAGGTCTGATACAAGAGGTCTGGTGACTAAAGCTCCCGCTTCACACACGGAGGGCCCGGGTTCGATTCCCGGCGGGTGGAAATTCCGACACGTTTCCTTACACCTATTGTCCTGTTCACCTAGCAGCAAATAGGTACCTGGGTGTTAGTCGACTGGTGTGGGTCGCATCCTGGGGGACAAGATTAAGGACCCCAATGGAAATAAGTTAGACAGTCCTCGATGACGAACTGACTTTCTTGGGTTATCCTGGGTGGCTAACCCTCTGGGGTTAAAAATCCGAACGAAATCTTATCTTATCTTATCTTATCTTCTCTGGATCAAAAGCCATTCACTAGCATCAAGGTACCCCTTTATCTGTGCAAAAGCTATTCAAAATAGCACAAGTTTTTGCAATGCTGTAGCATATGACTGGGCTTCAAAGGCCTAATTTAATGAGATATTTCTCTTAAAAACAGCATTTCCCATGCTGTATAACCCTTATGAGCTTAGTGCTTAATTTTGATTATAATAATGATAATAATAACAGCATTTCACAAATATATAAAAAAATATGCTTACCAATTTCAGGGCTCTTCTTTGCCCACTTCCTTATTCCTTCACTATAAATTTTTGCATTAGGATCCCTTATATCATCATAAAAAACTCCATTGATATAGAAAAATCCTGATGGAAACTCCGCCTGAAAACAATGAAATGTACTTAATAAGAACATGTGTATTTGTTTCCTTATAAAGCTGAAACACTGATCACCTTAAAGTCAATGAGGTGCATGACCAATGGAGGATCCAGCATATATCTTTCCTTGTGCTCAATGACCCACATGGGTTTAGCACTTCACTTCATTTTTTTAACACACTGGCCATCTCCCACCCAGGTTAGATGACCCCCCCCCAAAAAAAGGGGGGGGGGGAGACACATTCACCATTATTCATTCAGTCTAAATGTAGTGAAAATTGTGTTTAAAAAAATTACTAGTTCAGTACAGTATGATACAGTTTAGCCTTTTTGTGGACATAAAGCCCTAGGATTATCAAGATTTCCTCACCCAAAGGCAAAGCTGTGTTAACCATCACCAATCTAGTTACTGGCCATATTCCACAAAGTTTATCCTGAATGATCATCTGTTGTCCTATGCCAATGCCCTGTGAAATTCCTTATTGATATCAAAGACACTGAAGGTTCTTGATGAAGTACATAAGGTGAGTATGGGAAATAAGACAGAATAACAAAAAGTCACTGAATAAATACTGTATTGATATCCTATAAATGTTATATCTAAAAAGGCTTGTAAAAAAGTTATCATAAATAGTATGTATTTCAGTTGGATTTGTCATTAAACAGAAATATAAAAGAAGACCAGTAACATGACATACTTCTATACCTACACCTGACTTGTGAAATCACAATAACACGATTGCAAACAAACCACGGTATGGGTGGGGTAAGAACCCATGGCTAGTGAGTCATAAAACTCCAGGCCAGTGCATAAGCCACTAGGCCAGCTGGTTACAATAAGATTCATCCAACTAGGTATATTTATACACCATAGGGAGGTTAGAATAGGCCCCACTGTGACCACAAATGCAAGTTTTTACAGATGAATATAAAAGCCAACGTGGCCGTGATGAACTCTAGTTCAAGTCCCTGGAGCTTTACGACTCACTTTCCATGGGTTTTAACCCCACCTGTGCCATGGTTTATACCTGTACCTGAAATGTATAAGTAGATTAAAAATACATGTGGCTTGTTAGGCCTCTTAACATATAACTTATCTTACAGAGTTGTTGCGTAGGTGAGACATCTGATAAAACTGTGGCTCTGGAGATAAATCTTGATTGATTCCGAGGTCATTTATACAGATTAGGGCATCTCGCAGATCACTCAGTTTTTGTGAGCCGAGCAGCAATAGCTCTTGACTGTGAGTGGGGAATCGACTGAAACAATTAATAGTAAATATTTTAGTGAAACTCTCTCTCTTTTATAATTCATCCTTAATAAAAACAAGTATTAAATATACAATGGTTGACCAGTCTTTACTAAAAAATATCAAAGCATATAGTAAAAATTAATGAGAAAAATAATTTAATATTTCAGCTTTACAAAAATTGTAAATATTACACCTTCAGTTCTTTACCAATCTCTGCTAAACAAACTCTCCACACAGGTATACAAAGACCATGAACAAAACAATGCAATTGGTAAAAATTTGGGAAAAAATAAGATTTGTACAGTAATTCAGCTTTCATGAAATTGTAATCATTGAATCTACAGATCTTGATGAACTTCTACCATACAAAAAATGAGTTCTCCACACGCATACAATGGTTATACACAAAATGTGAATGCATCTGGTGAAAGATAACAGTGTAAAAGTATGTTCAGAAAAATAATACGTATGAATGTGTGTAATGATCATATCTGAAGATTAGCGTTTGTAAGAAACTGGTTTCAAAGTGCCCTGATAAAAAGCGTAAATGTTAATAAATGAGATGATCAAGTAAAGGCTGTGCTGTACTCAACAGTCACCCATAAATGAACTAGCAAATTTTGATCAATAAATTTTAGTGCCCTAGGTAGTAGGTTGGTAGACAGCAACCACCCAGGGAGGTACTACCGTCCTGCCAAGTGATTGTAAAACAAAGCCTGTAATTGTTTTACATAATGGCAAGATTGCTGGTCTTTTTTTTTTTTTTGTCTTGTAAACATGCAAGATTTCAGGCAAGTCTTGCTACTTCTACTTACACTTAGGTCAGACTACACATGCATGTATATCCCTCTGGGTTTTCTTCTATCTTCTTATTACTTCTTGTTCTTGTTTATTTTTGCTTATCTCCATGGGGAAGTGGGACAGAATTCTTCCTCTGTAAGGTATGCATATTGTAAGAGGTGATTAAAATGCTGGGAGCAAGGGGCTAGTAACCCCTTCTTCTGTATATATTACTAAATTTAAAAGGAGAAAGTTTTGTTTTCCCTTTTGGGTCACCCTGCCTCAGTGGGATATGGCCAGTTTGTTGAGAGGTGCACCTATACAGCTGAGTAGACCCTCAATTTAACCGGCCTTGAGTTAACAAACTTTGGAAATATGAAACACAATTCATTAGGTTCTGTCTCAGAAACAGTGGACAAAGTCAGTAGTTACATCACTCTCTGTTATTGTTACAATCACAGCAAAAGAATCTCATCTCTATCCATTACTGACTACTGACCACCTGCTCTTCTCTAACAGTCCATTAAATTGACGGTTAAACATAATTTAGTTTTTATTTGTGACTTCGTCTTGACACAGCCAGTATCAAAAGGGTCAAGATCAATTCGCTTTTGCCTGAACATTACTGGCACACTGATATTTAATCATTATTCGATGCACACCAATACTCTGTCACCTTTATAGAACTCCTGAACTTGTCTATTTGGCTAGGAAAATCTTACTACATACATACTTGCATGCTTTCTTCATGTGTGTCTTCTTGTGATATGGCCTCTGGACACGGACATTTAATATGATGTCTCGCATACACTCGTTGTTGGCGTTATCCTTATCACATCGGGTGGGTTCTGGGCTGTTATCTTCACGTATAATCTATTTAGCAGGAAGAGAAAATTAAAAGGTCAATATTTAATTAAAAACGATCTGGTGAAATTACTATTATACTCGTGAAAATTGCTAAACCTTTAAGAGATCAAGTGAAAGCTTTATTCTAAACAAAAAATTGAACACAGTACTATTCAGTAGGGTATATTATTATCTGTTCCTGGTTACCTACCTATAGTTGCAAGAGCCATATTTAGGGTGTTCTGTTTTTAGTTTGTCATAGATGGTAATAAGTTGCTAGAGGTTGTAATACAGTGCTTAATATCTTTTGCAAACTGGGTTTTCACACTTTTATAAACAACTAATAGTACCAGTACATTATTTTTATATTTCATAGGAAAGTACTAAACAGATGAGGGTCTACAGTACTTTGCAATGTGGGACAATTAAATTCAATCCAAGGAAATGGTGGGTGGCTTTTATTCATTTAACCAAGAGCCCTTCACTGGCATCAAGCAACCACCTCCCTTGAAGCAAACAAACTGTATAAACAAGGTGCAATGTGGCCTAAAACCCAGAGCAACCAGGCACCATTCCATCCGTCACCTATGCCACAACTTTGTGAAAAAAATCCAAAAAATACAGTGAAGAATCCTACTGACACCATTTCCTTCTATTTACAATTGTTGCCTCTTCTCTTTTTTTTTTTCTTTTTAACACATCAGCCATTTTCCACCAAGGCTGTGTGACCAAAAAAAAGAAACACTTTCATCATCACTCACTCCATCACTGTCTTGCCACAGGTGTGCCAATACTACAGTTCAAAAACTGCAACATATCTTCACCTCTCCTTCAGAATGCAGGCACTCTACTTCCCACCTCCAGGACTCGAGTCCAGCTAACTTGTTTCCCTGAATCCTTTCAAAAATGTTACTTTGCTCACACTCCAACAGCATGTCTATTTACTATAACCCCTTTTGTGATCTTAAAGTTATCATGTCTTCCCATTTACTTTCCTGTCAACTAAAGAGGGCATTCTTAATGTTATAAGTCTTATTTCATAACTTTCATATCTTGGATGTAGGATGTATCGTGTAACATGTCTTGAGACTGTACAGTGGACCCCCGACTTACAATATTAATCCGTTCCAGAGAGCACATTGCAAGATGAAATTATCGTAAGTCGAATTAATTTTCCCCATAAGAAATAAAGGAAATCAAATTAATCCGTTCAAGACACCCAAAAGTATGAAAAAACTTCTTTTTACCACATGAAATATACATTTTCCTATACACAAGAAGAAGGATACACGCACAATATATATTGTGCATGTACTAGTGTACTAAATGAAGAATAAATGAGACTTACCTTTGTTGAAGATGTGGTGACGAGTGATGAGACACTGTTTGTGTCCTGGGAATTCCTTTTCCTCCTGAGTAATGTAGGTCCTGTTTGGCATTTTCTTCCAGAACAGGCCTTATCACACTGTGTATGCCACTATGATTCTTAAATCCCTCCACCCAACCTTTGCTGGCCTTAAATTCACCAATATGAGCAGTAGTTCCAGGCATTTTTTCCTGTTCACCTGGGTGTTAGTCAATTGGTGTGGGTCGCACCCTGGGGGACAAGATTAAGGACCCCAATGGAAATAAGTTAGACAGTCCTCAATGACACACTGACTTTCTTGGGTTATCCTGGGTGGCTAACCGTCTGAGGTTAATTGTTTCTTGGTATTCTCGATAAGCCCATGGTGGCTTATTTAGCAGTTACAAGCACTAAAAACACTGGAATAATACAAAATTTATCGAATGTACGCATGCAACCGTCCACCCTGGCTTGTGAACAATGCCACACTAGCTCAACTGAGGCGCTCAGGCCAGACAGACCAGATGGCCACGTTTGGGACGAATGATTTAAGTCGAGTTTTTCAACGTAGGTTGGGGTCAAATTTTTACGCTGACAAGCATCCTAAGTCGATTTTATCGTAGGTTGAGGCCATCATAAGTCGGGGGTCCACTGTACTTACTTTTTCCACTTTTTTTTTTTTTTTTTGGAGGGGGGGGGGTCACAATAACCACACAACCATTACATATTCCAGTGTGATCTAACATATATTGTGAAGTTTTTTGTTTTGCTTTTTTGAATTTCACTATCAATCTCTTGGAAGGCTATTTTGAAATTTATCATTGAATTTTTCATTTTAGAAAAATCTAAAGACATGCAATCATTTAATTTATGTTATATATCCAGCATATATTTTTCAGATATATACTTTCTTTCTTTCAACACATTGGCCGTATCCCACCGTGGCGGGGTGGCCCAAAAGGAAAAACGAAAGTTTCTCCTTTTACATTTAGTAATATATACAGGAGAAGGGGTTACTAGCCCCTTGCTCCCGGCATTTTAGTTGCCTCTTACAACATGCATGGCGTACAGAGGAAGAATTCTGTTCCACTTCCCCATGGAGATAAGAGGAAATAAACAAGAGCAAGAACTAGAAAGAAAATAGAAGAAAACCCAGAGGGGTATGTATATATACGCTTGTACATGTATGTGTAGTGTGACCTAAGTGTAAGTAGAAGTAGCAAGACGTACCTGAAATCTTGCACATTCATGAGACAGAAAAAAGGACACCAGCAATCCTACCATCATGTAAAACAATTGCAGGCTTTCATTTTACACTCACTTGGCAGGATGGTAGTACTTCCCTGGGTGGTTGCTGTCTACCAACCTACTACCTAGGTAGATATATACACCTTTACTTTATTAAAACTACATGTACAGTACAATGTTCATACACTCAAGTTATATGCTTACACAAAATTATGGTAGGCACTGTATTCCTCTAAGCTCAAATACTGCTCCTACAACTCACCATTCGTACAGTGGAGAAGTATTTTAGTAATCTATTGCGCAGGCGGGCATAATCTCTGACTGTGTTACGTAGGTACAGCTCCTCTGTTTGAGCCTGTAATGTTGCCAGTGTATCTGCTGCCCCTGCTGGGATGATTCCATCTTGGAAAGAACCTGCAAATAAATAAATGAATACATGTAACAGGAATAAGGTATACACAAAGCATGGTCAAAAACACAATACAGTTCAGTCTTCTCTGTTTTCAATGTCTTGATGGCAACAAACCCACATGTTCCTCCTCTTTCCATTTTCATGATATTGGTCACCTATGAGCCATTTTAATCTCATGTACTCCAAGTGTATATTCTACATGCTAAACTATCATACTTTACTTGCATCCTATCATAATATTCCTCCTGACCAACAATTAAGCATACAGTAGGGCCCCGCTTTACGGCGTTTCACCTTATGGCATTCCGCTCATATGGACATTTCAAATTAGTATGACCAAAACTCACTCTATGGCTCCCCCCACCTGACTTTCTAATACAGTCACCGCACCCCACCCTGTCTGTTTACATTCTCCGTGAGCATTATGTCTCTCCATTATGTCTGGAAACTTTCCAAAATTTCAAGTGTTTTAAAGTTATTTCATGTTTTATATATACATGTACATTTTTTTTTTTTCAACAAGTCGGCCGTCTCCCACCGAGGCAGGGTGACCCAAAAAGTAAATACTTTCATCATCATTCAACACTTTCACCTCACTCACACATAATCACTGTTTTTGCAGAGGTGCTCAGAACACAACAGTTTAGAAGCATATACGTACACATAAAGATACACAACATATCCCTCCAAACTGCTAATATCCCGAAACCCCTCCTTTAGAGTACAGGCATTGTACTTCCCATTTCCAGGACTCAAGTCCAGCTATATAAAAATAACCGGTTTCCCTGAATCCCCTCACTAAATATTACCCTGCTCACACTCCAACAGATCATCAGGTCCCAAATACCATTCGTCTCCATTCACTCCTATTGAACACGCTCATGCACGCCTGCTGGAAGTCCAAGCCCCTCGCCCACAAAACCTCCCTTACCCCTTCCTTCCAACCTTTTCGAGGACGACCCCTACCCCGCCTTCCTTCTCCTACAGATTTAAATGCTTTCCATGTCATTCTACTTTGATCCATTCTCTCTAAATGACCAAACCACCTCAACAACCCCTCTTCAGCCCTCTGACTAATACTTTTATTAACTCCACACCTTCTCCTAATTTCCACACTCCTAATTTTCTGCATAATATTTACACCACACATTGCCCTTAGACAGGACTCCACTGCCTCCAACCGCCTCCTCGCTGCTGCATTCACAACCCAAGCTTCACACCCATATAAGAGTGTTGGTACTACTATACAGTGGACCCCGATTAACGATATTTTTTCATTCCAGAAGTATGTTCAGGTGCCAGTACTGACCGAATTTGTTCCCATAAGGAATATTGTGAAGTAGATTAGTCCATTTCAGACCCCCACACATACACGTACAAACGCACTTATATAAATACACTTACATAATTGGTCGCATTGGGAGGTGATTGTTAAGCGGGGGTCCATTGTACTTTCATACATTCCCTTCTTTGCCTCCATAGATAACATTTTTTGTCTCCACATATACCTCAATGCACCACTCACCTTTTTTTCCTCATCAATTCTGTGATTAACCTCATCCTTCATAAATCCATCCGCCGACACGTCAACTCCCAAGTATCTGAAAACATTCACTTCTTCCATACTCCTCCTCCCGAATTTGATATCCAATTTTTCTTTATCTAAATCATTTGATACCCTCATCACCTTACTCTTTTCTATGTTCACTTTCAACTTTCTACCTTTACACACACTCCCAAACTCATCCACTAACCTTTGCAATTTTTCTTTAGAATCTCCCATAAACACAGTATCATCAGCAAAAAGTAACTGTGTCAATTCCCATTTTGTATTTGATTCCCCATAATTTAATCGCACCCCTCTCTGAACACCCTAGCATTTACTTCTTTTACAACCCCATCTATAAATATATTAAACAACCATGGTGACATTACACATCCCTGTGTAAGACCTATTTTTACCGGGAAGTAGTCTCCCTCTCTTCTACACACCCTAACCTGAGCCTCACTATCCTCATAGAAACTCTTTACAGCATTTAGTAACTTACCACCTATTCCATATACTTGCAACATCTGCCACATACTCTGATAATTATACTTATGTGTACCTGTACCTAAATAAACTTACACACTGTGCTGGCATGCAGGTATACATTAAAATCACTAAGAGTGTCTTATTAGTCTTGAGGATACCATATTAATGATAATAATAATAATAATAACTCTGAGGTGCATTAAATGGCATATATTATGTTAATATAAACATTTTCATTAATCCATCTATGATATTTTTTAAAAATTATATAATAACCATGCTACATAACATATAAACACGATAAATACACCCCACAGTAGAATAAATTAACACAAATACGAGATGTTACATGAAGATAATTGTGTATCAACCATGACCAGATGAGTTCGTCTGTTTGTTTACATACTCTGCGTCTCTCTCTGCATCTCTCTCTCTCTCTCTCTGCGTCTCTCTCTCTGCGTCTCTCTCTCTGTGTGTCTCTCTCTCTGCGTCTCTCTCTCTGCGTCTCTCTCTCTGCGTCTCTCTCTCTCTGCGTCTCTCTCTCTGCATCTCTCTCTCTCTGCATCTCTCTCTCTGCGTCTCTCTCTCTCTCTCTCTCTGCGTCTCTCTCTCTCTGCATCTCTCTCTCTCTCTCTCTCTGCGTCTCTCTCTTTTCTCTCTCTCTCTCTCTCTCTGCGTCTCTCTCTCTCTCTCTCTCTCTGCGTCTCTCTCTCTCTCTCTCTCTCTCTCTCTGCGTCTCTCTCTCTCTCTCTCTCTCTCCCCTCTCTCTCTCTCTCTCTCTGCATCTCTCTCTCTCTCTCTCTCATTTTACCTCGTTTACTCACTTCTCATCCTACATTAAGACTACAAATATTTTAAGGTAAGTAATGAATGTACTGTATATGCATTTTATCACTCTGGGGTGCTTTAAATGTCATAGAGTATTACGTGTGGGTGGTGTGTCCTGGCAGGCTACCATACCTCCTACACTTGACTTCCTACAAATAAATACTACTCACCTCTCACCCTACATTAAGACTACAAATATTTTAAGGTAAGTAATGAGTGTACTGTGTGTATATTTTACTTTTTATTATTTCTAATGCCTAGTTCTATCCTTAATATATGTTAGTGTAAACTTGTTATCTGGCATTTATATGCATTTATAAGTGGAAAAAAATGGCATTCTGCTTTCCGGCGATGTCCGCTTTCCGGTAGTAGCCTGGAGCCTAACCTGCCATATAAGTGGGGCCCTACTATATATAACTTCTGTACATAATAATGTAGATTAGATTACAGTTAGTAAAGTAGAAATTGAATAATTATATAAGCTAGCAGTATAAGATACAACTGACATAGTAGAGTATTTAGTATATATGATCATTACATATTAATATTTTACATTAAACTGTATAAATGTACTGCATAAAATCTGATATGATTGTTTATGATCTAGAAATGCAATACTGTATAATACTGCTTTAACACCACATTAAAGAATGACCTCAAAAAATCCTTGGTTATAGGATGATACTAGTCTCCTAAACTGCAAGTGCAGACCACTGCTAACAAATTTGTGGTATTAATTTCAAACGGATCACTTACCAGCATACCAGTTGGTGAGGCGGCCAGAATGTCGGACAGGGCCATCAAGTACATCTTGTACAGCCAATTCATCTTCAACAGTTAGCATATTAATACTAAAGGGGGAAAATATGCGATTAAAATTTGTGCAACATACAAGAAAGGAACATTTTTTTAAAAAAAATTAACCCAAATAACTCGCACACAAGTTTCTTTCTCCTATGTGTGGGTTATCTGTGTATTGTTCCAGTCACGGCATTGTGCCTTTTTACTCTTAAAAAAAAAAATACTTTTATACTGATTGAAACTTGCTTATACAGTACAAATTTAAGCTAATATTATTTCCTCAATTCTCATATCACTATTTGACTGAAATTTTGAATAAAATAAATCCTTTTCTATGGGAGAAAAAAAAATCCTAGAGCCCAATTAAAAAAAAGCATAAAATACATGTATACAGGTGATGGGTAAAGTTAATTCATACATCACATACTAATGAAAATACATTTTTTTTACTAAATCAACCATTTCACACCAAGGTGGAGTAACCCAAACAAGGTAAAACGTTAACCATTGCTCAATAGTCTTATTGTCTCAGAATCATAGATATCATAACTCAAGTGACCCTTTGAACCACAAGAGATACAGAGGCAGGCAGTACAGGCATTGTACTTCCCAACACCGGACCTCAAGTCTAACTAACTAGCTTCCCTGAATTATTTTATTTTTTTTATTATTATCACACTGGCCGATTCCCACCAAGGCAGGGTGGCCCGAAAAAGAAAAACTTTCACCATCATTCACTCCATCACTGTCTTGCCAGAAGGGTGCTTTACACTACAGTTTTTAAACTGCAACATTAACACCCCTCCTTCAGAGTGCAGGCACTGTACTTCCCATCTCCAGGACTCAAGTCCGGCCTGCCGGTTTCCCTGAACCCCTTCATAAATGTTACTTTGCTCACACTCCAACAGCACGTCAAGTATTAAAAACCATTTGTCTCCATTCACTCCTATCAAACACGCTCACGCATGCCTGCTGGAAGTCAAAGCCCCTCGCACACAAAACCTCCTTTACCCCCTCCCTCCAACCTTTCCTAGGCCGACCCCTACCCCGCCTTCCTTCCACTACAGACTGATACACTCTTGAAGTCACTCTGTTTCGCTCCATTCTCTCTACATGTCCGAACCACCTCAACAACCCTTCCTCAGCCCTCTGGTAATCCCGCACCTCCTCCTAACTTCCAAACTACGAATTCTCTGCATTATATTCACACCACACACTTCCCTCAGACATGACATCTCCACTGCCTCCAGCCTTCTCCTCGCTGCAACATTCATCACCCATGCTTCACACCCATATAAGAGCCCTCTTTGCCTCCAATGACAAAGTTCTTTGTCTCCACAGACTCCTAAGTGCACCACTCACCCTTTTCTCCTCATCAATTCTATGATTCATCTCATCTTTCATAGACCCATCTGCTGACACGTCCACTCCCAAATATCTGAATACATTCACCTCCTCCATACTCTCTCCCTCCAATCTGATATCCAATCTTTCATCACCTAATCTTTTTGTTATCCTCATAACCTTACTCTTTCCTGTATTCACTTTCAATTTTCTTCTTTTGCACACCCTACCAAATTCATCCACCAATCTCTGCAACTTCTCTTCAGAATCTCCCAAGAGCACAGTGTCATCAGCAAAGAGCAACTGTGACAACTCCCACTTTATGTGTGATTCTTTATCTTTTAACTCCACGCCTCTTGCCAAGACCCTCGCATTTACTTCTCTTACAACCCCATCTATAAATATATTAAACAACCACGGTGACATCACACATCCTTGTCTAAGGCCTACTTTTACTGGGAAATAATTTCCCTCTTTCCTACATACTCTAACTTGAGCCTCACTATCCTCATAAAAACTCTTCACTGCTTTCAGTAACCTACCTCCTACACCATACACCTGCAACATCTACCACATTGCCCCCCTATCCACCCTGTCATACACCTCTTCCAAATCCATAAATGCCACAAAGACCTCTTTAGCCTTATCTAAATACTGTTCACTTATATGTTTCACTGTAAACACCTGGTCCACACACCCCCTACCTTTCCTAAAGCCTCCTTGTTCATTTGCTATCCTATTCTCCGTCTTACTCTTAATTCTTTCAATAATAACTCTACCATACACTTTACCAGGTATACTCAACAGACTTATCCCCCTATAATTTTTGCACTCTCTTTTGTCCCCTTTGCCTTTATACAAAGGAACTATGCATGCTATCTGCCAATCCCTAGGTACCTTACCCTCTTCCATACATTTATTAAATAATTGCACCAACCACTCCAAAACTATATCCCCACCTGCTTTTAACATTTCTATCTTTATCCCATCAATCCCGGCTGCCTTACCCCCTTTCATTTTACCTACTGCCTCACGAACTTCCCCCACACTCACAACTGGCTCTTCCTCACTCCTACAAGGTGTTATTTCTCCTTGCCCTATACACGAAATCACAGCTTCCCTATCTTCATCAACATTTAACAATTCCTCAAAATATTCCCTCCATCTTCCCAATACCTCTAACTCTCCTCTCCTATTTTTAACTGACAAATCCATTTGTTCTCTAGGCTTCCTTAACTTGTTAATCTCACTCCAAAACTTTTTCTTTATTTTCAACAAAATTTGTTGATAACATCTCCCCCACTCTCTCATTTGCTCTCTTTTTTACATTGCTCACACTCTCTTAACCTCTCTCTTTTTCCCCATATACTCTTTCCCTCCTTGCATCACTTCTACTTTGTAAAAACTTCTCATATGCAACTTTTTCTCCCTTAAAACTCTCTTTACATCTTCATTCCACCAATCGCTCTCTTCCCTCCCACACCCACTTTCCTGAAACCAAAAAACTTCTGCTAAAACACTCTAACACTACATTTTTAAACCTACCCCATCCCTCTTCGACCCCTTTGCCTATGCTCTCATTAGCCCATCTATCCTCCAATAGCTGTTTATATCTTACCCTAACTGCCTCCTCTTTTAGTTTATAAACCTTCACCTCTCTCTTCCTGATGCTTCTATTCTCCTTGTATCCCATCTACCTTTTACTTCAGTGTAGCTACAACTAGAAAGTGATCTGATATATCTGTGGCCCCTCTATAAACATGTACATCCGAAGTCCTACTCAACGGTCTTTTATCTACCAATACATAATCCAAAAACTACTGTTTATTTGCCCTACATCATATCTTGTATACTTATTTATCTCTTTTTCTTAAAATATGTATTACCCATAACTAAACCCTTTCTATTACAAAGTTTCAATCAAAGGGCTCCATTATCATTTACACCTGGCACTCCAAACTTACCTTACCACACCCGTCTAAAAGTTTCTCCTACTTTTGCATTCAGGTCCCCTACCACAATTACTCTCTCACTTGGTTCAAAGGCTCCTATACATTCACTTAACATCTCCCAAAATCTCTCTCTCTCCTCTGCATTCCTCTCTTCTCCAGGTGCAAACACGCTTATTATGGACCCACTTTTTCGCATCCAACCTTTACCCTTTAATCCACATAATTCTTGAATTTACACATTCATATTCTCTTTTCTCCTTCCATAACTGATCCTTCAACATTACTACTACCCCTTCCTTTGCTCTAACTCTCTCAGATACTCCAGATTTAATCCCATTTATTTCCCCCCACCAAAACTCCCCTACCCCCTTCAGCTTTGTTTCGCTTAGGGCCAGTACATCCAACTTCTTTTCATTCATAACATCAGCAATCATCTGTTTCTTGTCATCCGCACTACATCCACGCACATTCAAGCATCCACACACATTCAAGCATTCCTTGAATACCTGCATGAAATACAACATGTCTCACAAAATCGTAATGACACGATTGCAATATGTATGTGATGCAACTATTTCATTTTCTCAGGTAGCTGAGATAGTGTGGATTAATCTTTAGACACTTTCATAAGAACATAAGAGCATAAGAAAGAAGGAACACTGCAACAGGCCTACTGACCCATGTGGAGCAGGTCCATGTCCCCCCCCAAAAAATTAGACCAATGAACCCCCCCCCCCCCGGATTAGCCCAATGACCCACCCAGTCTGGTCACCTCCACTCAAGGATGGAGCACTGCACCAGACCCAACAGCACAAGCTAGTCAGGTCCAACTCACACCCACTCATGTATTTATCTAACCTATTTTTAAAACTACACAACGTTTTAGTCTGAATAACTGTACTCGGAAGTTTGTTCCACTCATCCACAACTCTGTTACCAAACCAGTGCTTTCCTATATCCTTCCTGAATCTGAATGTTTCCAACTTGAAACCATTGCTGCGAGTCCTGTCTTGGCTGGAAATTTTCAGCACGCTATTTACATCCCCTTTGTTTATTCCTGTTTTCCATTTATACACTTCGATCATATCCTCCCTAATTCTACGCCTTTCGAGAGAGTGCAGATTCAGGGCCCTCAGTCTATCCTCATAGGGAAGATTTCTGATACATGGGATCATCTTTGTCATCTTCCTCTGTACATTTTCCAGAGCATTTATATCCATTCTGTAATACGGTGACCAGAACTGAGCAGCATAGTCTAAATGAGGCCTAACCAAGAATATATAGAGTTGAAGAACAACCTGAGGACTTCTATTTTTTATACTTCTAGATATGAAGCCAAGAATTCTGTTAGTTTTATTGCGAACACTAATGCATTGTTGTCTTGGTTTTAGATTACTGCTAACCAGAACTCCTAAATCCTTTTCGCAATCAGTAGTATTAAGATATACATTATTTAGTTTATATGTGGCATGATTATTTAACTGTCCAACATTTAGAACTCTGCATTTGTCAATATTAAACTACATCTGCCACTTCTCCGACCATTGCATCAGTCTATTCAAATCATCCTGGAGTGCTCTAGTGTCCTAATTAGAATGAATTGGACGGCCTATTTTGGTGTCATCAGCAAATTTGCTTATGTCGCTTTTATTCCCTCATCTATGTCGTTTATATAAATTGTGAACAACAACGGGCCCAACACTGACCCCTGAGGAACACCGCTTGTGACGTGCCCCCATTCTGATTTCTCTCCATTTATGCAAACTCTCTGCTGTCTATTTGTCAACCATGCTTCTACCCAGGAAAAAATTTTTCCTCCTATTCCGTGTGCCTTAAGTTTCCTCAACAGCCTCTGGTGTGGAACTATCGAAAGCCTTACTGAAGTCATATACACAATATCATATTCATTACCATGATCTACCTCCTCAAACACCTTAGTGAAAAAAGTTAGTAAATTCGTAAGACAGAAACGCCCCTTTGTAAAACCGTGTTAAGATTCATTAATCAATCTGTGCCTGCCAAGATGGTTACGAATTGCTTTGGCAATTACTGATTCCATAAATTTTCCCACTATGGAGGTAAGGCTTATTGGTCTATAGTTCGAAGCCAAGGACCTGTCACCTGCCTTGTAAATAGGTATTACATTTGCCATTTTCCACTTATCAGGCACTATGCCAATTTGTAGTGATATGTTAAAAAGATTAGCCAAAGGTATGCTAAGTTCCTCTTTACATTCCTTTAACACCCTTGCAAACAGTTCATCAGGGCCTGGGGATTTGTTAGGTTTTAGTTTCTCTATTTGTCTGATGACCATGTCACTAGTTACCACAATCGTACATAGTTTACTATCATCCTGTTCTACATAATCTATTATTTCAGGAATATTGCTAGTATTTTCCTGGGTGAAAACAGAGGAAGTAGGTATTTAGAATTTCACACATATCCTTATCACTGTCAGTGATCTGACCAGAGTTACTCTTAAGTGGGCCAATCTTGTCCCTAATCTTACTTCTGTATACATACCTGAAAGAACCCTTTTGGGTTAGTCTTTGAATCCTTTGTGACCTTAGCCTCATAATCCCTTTTTGCTTTTCTTATTCCTTTCTTCATTTCTCTCTTTAATTGAATATATTGATTTCTTAACTCCCCATCCCCTCTTTTGATATGCTTATATATGCCTCTCTTTTGACCAATGAGATGTTTTAATCTATTGTTCATCCATTTGGGATCATTTTTGTTAGATCTAATTTCCCTACTCAGAACAAAAGTTGTCTGGGCAGCTAGAACTATGCTCTGAAAAACGTCATATTGGCAACCAGGATCACCTACCTGACCCATAGTCAGGACATCCCAATTTAGCCCACCCAGGTAATTTTTCAGTTCCATGAAGTCGGCCAAGCGAAAATCTGGGACAGAGATTTGATTGCAGTTATCTGGGTAATTCCATGATATATTGAAACTAAGTGATTTGTGATCACTTTCCCCAAGCTCATCATTAACCTCAAGATTATTAATTAGTGAATCTTTGTTGGCAAGAAGCAAGTCAAGCAGATCGTTTCCTCTAGTTGGTTCTGTCACAACCAGTTCTAAAAAGCAATCCTGAACCGTATCAAGAAAGTCACTAGACTCAAGATTTCCTGTCATATTGTTCCAATCAATTTGTCTAAAGTTAAAATCTCCCATTATCACAACATTTTCATATCTAGATGCCTTATGAATTTCGTCCCATAACAGCTTACTGCCCTCCCTATCAAGGTTTGGGGGCCTATAAATAACACCCAAAATTAATTTGTCACGTCCCTCGAGAAACTGTAGCCAAACAGATTCTGTGTTCGATGTTTCTAATCTTATATCATGTCTAAGACAACAATTTAAATTTTCTCTGACATACATCGCCACACCACCACCCTTCCTGTTGACCTTATCAGTGTGGAATAGTTTATAACCCTGTATGTTGCATTCAGAAGGCATTTCTCTATCTTTCAGGTTGAACCAGGTCTCTGTTATACCAATAATATCTATATTACCTACACTTGCAAGTGATCTTAGCTCATCTACCTAATTTCTTAGACTCCTACTATTTGTATAGTAGACCTTAAGGGAGCTAGTCACTCGTTGCCATCTACTATCTCTCTTTGTTTGTTGATCAATTGATTTGCCATTACTAGCAACTTTATTTTGAATATTGTCTTTTAAACATATCCCTGAGGTATCCAGGTAATAACTGCTGTTTTTAACCCTAATGCTGCAGCCTGATTGTTTCCCACAAACACCCATACCTCTATAATCTATCAGTTTAAATTCCTAGACAAGTCATCAATTACCCTCTCAATTGAATTGGCTAATGCAACCACTCCATCCCCAGAGAGATGAACCCCATCCCTTGCATACATATCATGTTTGCCAAAGAATAGGTCCCAGTTATCAATGAATGGGATTGCAAGTTCCTTGCAGTACCTGTCTAGCCAGCAATTTATACCAATTGCCCTAGACATTCATTCATTGCCCACTCCCTTTCTAGGCAAGATGCTACATATGACTGGGATCCCTCCCTCAGACCTAACTACTTCTATGGCTAACCTGTACTTATCCAGCAGCTCCTCTCTCCTGTCCTTCCCAATGTCATTACCCCCAACACTAAGACAGATAATGGGCTTTTTCCCATTACCTGCCATAATATTATCCAACCTGCTGACTATGTTACCAACACCAGCTCCAGGAAGACACTCTCTGTCTGACCTTTCTGTCTCTGTTACAAAATGCACGGTCCATATATCTTACCTGAGAAAAGCCTACTATTAAAATATTCTTACCTTGATTAGCAGGGGAATCAGTGGTACCTTCAACCTCATTAACCACTGAAGTACACTCGTCTTGGAGAACAGAGAATCGATTTCCTACCTTCACATCTTCTCCATTAACTCTCCTCATCTTCCTTCTTCCTGAACTGTGAACCACTTGCTACTTAAAGCGGCTGCCACTATCACTGCTGGTGACCATTCCTTCCTTACCAGCTAAATCCTTCTCACACTCGCTCCCAAATTCATCTATGTGAAGCTTCAGCCTCCTATTTTCCTCCTTAACATGATGTTGAGTTTGCTACAATTCAGCCCCTTGACACCATGCTACTCAGTCCTTTGATCTCTTACAACTCAGTTACTTGATGACCCCAACAACTCAGTTCCATGACCCCCTACAATTCAGTATCTCAACCCTACATCTCAGTCCCTCGACTCCCTACAACTTAACTACCAGCACAATACATTGCTTGTCATTTACTCATCCTCCTCACTTAAAAATAAATGTTTATTAAATTTTTTTATTGCATTAAGACAAAAATGTAAAATGTCTTTCTGTATTTAATTAAAAATGTTCAATGACAATTTTTTTCAAACTCACCTACAATTCTCTTCTAGTTTTTGTACATTAAACGAGTCTTCCTTATTATCTTCTTCTGAGTTCATTGGAGGGAAAAAATTTCGGATAGCAGTATAAGGGTGTATCTGTGGAAATATGAAATGTCAATATGTAGCATTAAATCAACACCTGTTTATCAAAAGTGATAAACCCATGTGGGGTCACACAATGCTTCTGAGGTGTGTGTGTAAACCTGGTGGGGACTAGTGGAGTTTGGGTTTAGAAAAATTGCAAAATTAAAAACATTGTTGGTATATACCTTTGATATACCTTTGAAGAGTTTCAAGAGTTTAACTACTCTTGGAGCCCGGCCATGGGCCAGGCTCGTCTGGTGCTTGCCTGGTCAACCAGGCTGTTGCTGCTGGAGGCCTGCTGCCCCACATATCCATCACAGCCTGGTTGATCTGGCACCTGGTGAAGATACTTGTCCAGTTTCCTCTTGAAGGCTTCTACACTTGTTCCAGCCATGTTTCTGATATCTTCTGATAAGATGTTGAATAGTCTGGGACCCCGGATGTTGATACAGTGTCATTTTCTGTTAGCAAATCAAAGACTCAGCTTGCATTAAAAATGGGGCTTTTGGCAAGAAGGGCATTGAGAGTGTGTGTGCACCTGGGCATTGTAGGGTATTAAGAGTGCATTGTGAATGTTCTTAATATATAAGACAGCTTATTAATAATATTTATTTATTTATCTATTTATTAATTTGCACATGATACACAGAAGTACACAGGTGTAACATGCCAAAGCCCCTTGTATGCAGAGCATTATGGGCAGGCTTAAAATTAACTTAAGATTAACTAAGCAATGATATATTCAGTGGTAAACATTGTTGTAAACAGTTAACAATTAAGCACAAATGAGCATTTCAAAGACAGGTCATATGGTCATTTACTGTGTTGCTGTGCATTCAGTAGAATGGAGTATTCTGTTAGGTAATGTAATTAAAAATAACAAAGTTAGATTGGATCACAGGTTAAACATTTATGAGATACAATTATTCAGTACTTATTTGGTTGTGGGTGAGTAAGTGATTTTTAAGAAGAGACCTGAATTTATAAACAGTGTTACTTTTATATTCACAGGTAGTAAATTCCAGATTTTTGGGCCTTTTATGTGCATTGAGTTTTTGCATAGTGTGAGATGGACACAAGGAATATCAAAGAGTGACCTATGCCTTGTATTATGGTCATGTGTTTTGTTGAGGTTGGTAAGGAGACATTTGAGGGGAGGGTTTATATCCGAGTTAAGTGTTCTATGTGTGTAGTAGGTACAATAATAAGTATGGATGTTTTGTATGGAGAGTAGGTTTAGAGTTTTGAATATTGGTGGAGTGTGCTGCCTGTAGTGGGAATTTGTTATCATTCTGACTGCAGCCTTTTGTTGGGTAATTAATGGTCTGAGATGGTTTATTGTTGTTGAGTCCCATGCACAAATTCCATAGGTGAGATAGGGGTAAATAAGTGAGTGATATAGGGCCAGGAGGGCTGACTGTGGAACATAGTACCGTATCTTCGATAGTATGCCTACGGTCTTGGAAATTTGTTGTATATGTGTTTGAAATTTAAGTCTATTATCAAGGTGGATTCCTAAGAATTTTCCCTCTGTGAGCTTTGTCATAGGTGATCCGTTTATCATTATGTTAAGAGGGACATCTGTAGCTCTGTTACCAAACTGAATGAAGTAGGTTTTGTCAATATCTTTATTTCTACAAGTACATGTACAATGTATACAGGCCTAGCTGACATCAATGACATACGTACTTCTTATACAGAAAGCTGCTTATTATGCAGAGCATTTCGGGCAAGTTAGGTCAATTTTGTTCCTGGATGCGACCCACACCAGTCGACCAACACCCAGGTATGTACCCATTTTATACTGATGAGTGAACACGGACAGCAGGTGTCTTATGGAAACATATCCTAGTGTTTTCCAACAGTACCGGGGTTTCAAACTCCAGACCTCGGTGTGTGAGCTGAGTATGCTAGTGATTGAGCTATGATGAATGGACAATGTGACATCATAGTCCTTTCAGAAAGGCATTTGTTATCTCTCCCTGAGGTATATCTTTGATACACTTTTGATGGGTCTCAAGAGTTAGTCCCACAGCCCAGTCCTGGGCCAGGCTTGTCTGGTTCAACCAGGCTGCTGTTGCTGGCAGCTATAAGACCCACATAACTGTCACATCCTGGTTGATACAGTATCTGCACATAAAACAATATGTCCAATTCAAACTAGTGCAAGGATAGTTTTCCATATACGTACAATATTTTTCTTTTTCTTATTTAACCCTTAAACGGTCCAAACAGATCAACGTTCAAATTCGTAGTGCTACAAAAGTAGATCTACTTTTTTTACATATTTTCAAATATAACAAAAAAATGTAGATAAAAGTTTTTTTTACACGTTTTCACATGTAAAACAAAAAAAAAAAGATTTACATTTTTTTACATACTTTCAGATGTTGAAAAAACGTATATATACGTTTGGACCATTTAAGGGTTAACAAAACTGGGTCATAATAAATGGAGTTGACAATAAATAAATAACTAACATCTGTGATTAATTTGTATGTAACAGGATTGTGAAGGTAGCGGAAGCAAACAAAATGACTAAGGCAATGTGAGTATCACTTATGTATGTACAGTATTAGGTATTGTAGGTTTGAGTGTGGGCTGGTTGGGTGGTCGTGGGTCGTTCTGCCATCTGACACATACATGACCTGATAATACTGTATCATGGGAGAATGCTATTACAAATCTGTTAGTGATACAAAAATTTATAAATGGTCCTGACTGGCCCACCTATACAACCTTCAAAGCTTGATATAAGAAGAATGTTACGAACAGTACTCATGAAATGTTATGCAAAAGAAATGTTCTCACCTTTTCTTCGTGAGGATGGTAGAAAACATTATCCAATAATACATGGTATTCATTGAAGTATTCTCTCAACTTTATTGGCTCTTCTGTAACCCAACCACAATCCTTCAAGTTATGAATATTCTCCATGGTGATAATATGACTATTCACCTCTTGTTTTCTTTATGGAAATATTCTGTAACAGGAAAATATGCATATTAATAGCACATGTCTTCTGTGTGTTGGTCTAGGTGTACAGTTATTTTTCCATAGTTTATCTTCTTTTACCTGTCTTTTTCACCAGGATAAGATAAGATAAGATAAGATTTCGTTCGGATTTTTAACCCCGGAGAGTTAGCCACCCAGGATAACCCAAGAAAGTCAGTGCGTCATCGAGGACTGTCTAACTTATTTCCATTGGGGTCCTTAATCTTGTCCCCCAGGATGCGACCCACACCAGTCGACTAACACCCAGGTACCTATTTGCTGCTAGGTGAACAGGACAACAGGTGTAAGGAAACGTGTTGGAATGTTTCCACCCGCCGGGAATCGAACCCGGGCCCTCCGTGTGTGAAGCGGGAGCTTTAGCCACCAGGCCACCGGGCCACAATAATAAAAATAAATTCATTTTTAAATAGTGAGCATGAATGGAAAAGATAAGAGAAGATAAGATTTTGTTTGCATTTTTAACCCCGGAAGGTTAGCCACTGAGGATAACCCGAGAAAGTCAGCGTGTCATCGAGGACTGTCTGTTATGCTTCCACTGGAGTCCTTTAATCTCATCACCAGGATGCAACCTACACCAGTTAACAAACACCCAGGTACCTACTTATTTGCTAAGTGAACAGGACAGCAGGTTTAAGGAAACATGCCCAATGTTTCCACGCTTGCCGGGATCGAACCACGGACGCTCAGTGTGCGAGGCAAAAGCATTCCCTACCAGGCCACAGGACACCGCATCATATAGCTCTGAAGAATATTTCAAGAAAGCTATGTGGCTTAATTCCACTGGGTGGGGGAGCACTAAACCCTTATGGGCACATAGCTCCAGGGGGGTACTGGTAAGTATTCAAGCTTGATTCAAGGAACTGGAGCACAGATCCAATTCTTTAGATCAAGAGCCCCTCACCAGCATCAAGAACCTCCCTTGAGGGGTACATATATTATAAAATATAAGTTAATGCCCGAGTTCCACCAAGTAGTTGGTAACCTCAGTAAGTAAGTAAGTAAGTTTATTCAGGTATACACAAATACAGTTACATAGAATTATCATACATAGTAGCATATGTGTAGAGAACCTAGGATAACCCAAAAAAGTCAGAGTGACTTACTTCCACTGGGGTCCTCAGTGAGGCTAATATCTCCTGGGTGTCCTTAAATTAAGTAAGTAAATAAGTAAAGTTTATTTAGGCACAGGTACACATAAATACAATTATCATACATAACATGTGTAAATTATTGACCAGGATAATCCAAAAAAGTTAGACAAAGTGACTTGTATTTCCATTTGAGACTAATTGTGAGACGAAGGATTATATGGACCCCAGGGACACATTTTTTATCTCAAGAAGTGCTTTTATGAGGACCTGATTATAGAATAACGATAAAGACGAGGGAAAATGGCCTAAATTACTCCAGCTAGTCAGGTTATCATAAAAAAGAATAAAAGAATAAAAACGATCAGTTACATTAAGAATAATATAACAAGTAATACCCTTTACTTGGACTCGAGGAAGGGGATGGGTAGCTCCAATTCCTTGGATCAGGAGCCTTCTACAGCAGCATCAACCCACCCGAATTGATGGATTACCTGTTTAATTACTTGTAAACTTAAATAACTTGCGAGGTGTTGGTCTTGTTGTTGGGTTAGTAAAGACCACTGACAGGTTACGGAGTATCGAGCTCGGCTTCCCACTCTGCTAGATATATATTACTCAAAGTTGAACCATGAGAAAAATTGGAACGAGTCTCTTTGTAAACTGAAACAAAAACCAGAAGTTCCCATTTATATCAGGAAGACCACCTTGCCAAGCACCAGCAGTGTTCATTATTATTATAATCGAGGGAGCACTAAACCCGTAGGATTATGCAGCGCCTGTGGGGGGGGATGTGGAAGGTATTCAGGATTAATTCGGGGAACTGGAGCACAGATCTAAATCCCTAGACCAAGAGCCCTTCACCAGCATTAAATTTTATTATTATTATAATCATGGGGGAAGCGCTAAACCCGGAAGATTATACAGCGCCTGGGGGGGGGGATGTGGAAGGCATTCAGGCTTAATTCGGGGAACTGGAGCACAGATCCAATTCCCTAAATCAAGAGCCCCTCACCAACATCAAGGAACCTTCCTTGAGGGGTCCATCATTAAAGAACCTTCCTTGGGGGCAGAGAGTGTTCAGTAACCGGCTTCCCATTACAACCGTTAAGAATTATCCGCAGAGCGAAAATATGAAGTTTGTTAAAATTTAGCCATGACAGATGCCTCTCCTGTATTATTATTATAATAATAACTAAGCGTTAAGCCCATCCTTCCTGCAACATGTACCTCCTGTGAAAATAAATGGTATAAAATACCGACACTATGGAAACATAAACACATGCAGTTTAATGTGATCCTTTATTGACAACGTTTCGCCCACATAGTGGGCTTTTTCAAGTCACAAACAGATCTGTTTGTGACTTGAAAAAGCCCACTGTGTGGGCGAAACGTAGTCCATAAAGGATTACATTATACTGCATATGTGTTTATATTTCCATTGTGTCGGTATTTTATACCATTTATTTCCAGGAAAAATTTGTCACTGATGTTCAGGCAAGAACAAGACGTCCACATTCAAAGACTGAACCAGAAGTTTTGGAGTTGTAACACTACTACTGTACCACCACCAGAGGTGTAAGATAAGAACATAAGAAAGAAGGAACACTGCAGCAGCCCTACTGACCCATGCGAGGCAGGTCCAAGTCTCCTACCGGCTTAAGCCAATGCCCCAACCTAGTCAGGTCAGGTCAATAAGTTTATTTAGGTACAAGTACACAAGTACAATTATCATAAATAAAAAAAAGGCACAATACCGTGACTGGAACGATACACAATGGTCCAAGTCGGACCGAAACGTCGTCGTATGCTTCTCTCTTTTATGTGCGGGTTATTTGTGTACAATTATCATACTTAGTTTAACGTGTAAATTATCCACGATAACCCCCCAAAAAGTCAGTGACTTATTTCCATTTGGGTTCTTAGTGAGGGGCTGTCAACACTGTATGAATGGAAAATAGGAATACAGGGGATGTAAATTACATGCAAAAAATATCTGACCAAGATTTAGAAAGAATATAGGAAAGCATTGGCTTGGTAATGAGAGAAATTATCATAAAAAAGAAGTGTGAAAATTTGTGTGGACTGCCTCCAAGTGAGTCACCTACCCTGGCAAACTCTGTTGACACAGAGCTCTGAGGTGGGCCCCCTCAAGGAAGGTTCCTTGATGTTGGTGAGGGGCTCTTGATTTAGGGAATTGGATCTGTGCTCCAGTTCCCCAAATTAAGCCTGAATGCCTTCCACATCCTCCCCAGGCGCTGTATAATCCTCCGGGTTTAGCGCTTCCCCCTTGATTGTAATAATAATCTGAGGTGGGTACCTCAGCCTCACAAGTGGCTTATAGGACAGATTTTCACAAATGATTGATGTTGCAAGAAAACTCGCCTGCATGCACGTATAAAGGACTAACTTACTTGGCGTTGCAGCATATATCCTGATCTTCAACTTCCCTAAGCTTAGCCTTAGTCCCTTTGGACTTCCCCTCAGAAACCACGTGCAACCGGGAGCCTTAATCCCTGCAATATTCAATCGTTATTAGTGTCCTGCCTGCACCTCAGACACGGACACTAGCTTCCAGACTGCCTTGAGACACTGGTACTTACTGGGCATGCACTGCCTGTTGCACACCGGGCCCACAGATCAAACTCACTCACAATTCTCCCCAGACACTGGCCAGAAATCTACGAGATAAAGTGGAGGTCTTGTCTTACTGTATGGGCCTGACGGAGGTCATCTACGGTACATCGAGGTGCCTCTACCAGATTTCCCTAGGTCTCAAATGTGAAGACACGTGGGGGGCACCGCCTGCTGATCGCGGCACGTCTTGTCCAGTTGGTGTCTGTCTTAAGAAGAACGAGCTGGTCTCTCTTCCAGACCCTCGTCTCTTCGTTCAAACTAGGGCTGCCAGTTCTCCCTAGCTAACTTATCCTAGTGTTTGCCTACATTATCGGCCTATTACTACCTATGTTAAGGTCTTAGGTCTACATTATTATTATCTACAGTTGCCTTAGTAAACCTAATATTAATATACTAACAGTAAAACTACCTACTCCTTCCCTGAAGGGTAAATCTATAAATTAAATGAGCTTACCAACAATCCACGCCAACTAGAGAGAATGCTTTGTTTTGGGTGGGGTATAAGGGCCACCCAGCTCAGCCGTTCCATTACGGCCATGCCGGATCTGTCTTGTGGAACATTAGGGACCAAATAAATTTCCACAAGAAGCGCTAAACCTACAAGGGTCATACAGCACAGAGAGAGAGAGAGAGAGAGAGAGAGAGAATGAATGAATTTTGAATAAGTGGAACAGACTCCTGAGTAGCGTCACTGAAGCAAAAACCTCGTGTAGCTTTAAAAATAATTTAGAGGGTGTGACTTAGACTTGCCTATCATGGGGTGTTAGGCCTGCACTAGTGCACCTTTCTTTTGTATCACCACCAGAGGTGAGGAGCCGTGACAAAACTACCCCAATGGAAATAAGAACATAGAACATAAGAACGAAGGAACACTGCAGCAGGCCTACTGGCCCATGCGAGGCAGGTCCAAGTCTCCTACCGGCTTAAGCCAATGCACCCAACCTAGTCAGGTCAGGTCACATTGACTTAAGGGAGGAACATGGCAACCGACCTGGTAGCACAAGCTATCAGGTCCAACTCACACCCACCCACATCCACTCATGTATTTATCCAACCTATTTTTAAAGCTACACAACGTTCTGGCCTCTATAACTGTACTTGGGAGTTTGTTCCACTCATTCACAACTCTATTACCAAACCAGTACTTTCCTATATCCTTCCTGAATCTGAATTTTTCCAACTTAAAACCATTGCTGCGAGTCCTGTCTAGGCTATTTTCAGCACACTATTTACATCCCCTTTATTTATTCCTGTCTTCCATTTATACACCTCAATCATATCCCCCCTAATTCTACGTCTTTCTAGAGAGTGCAGATTCAGGGCCTCAGTCTATCCTCATAGGGAAGGTTTCTGATACATGGGATCGACTTTGTCATCCTCCTTTGTACATTTTCCAGAGCATTTATATCCATTCTGTAATACGGTGACCAAAACTGTGCAGCATAATCTAAATGAGGCCTAACCAAGGATGTATAGAGTTGAAGAACAACCTGAGGACTCCTATTATTTATGCTTCTTGATATGAAGCCAAGGATTCTATTAGCTTTATTGCGAACACTAATGCACTGTTGTCTTGGTTTCAGATTACTGCTAAGCAGAACTCGTAAATCTTTTTCGCAATCCGTAATATTAAGATCTACATTATTTAGTTTATATGTGGCATGGTTATTGTCCTGTCCAACATTTAGAACTTTGCATTTGTCTATATTAAACTGCATCTGCCACTTCTCTGATCACTGCAGCAGTCTATTCAAATCTTCCTGGAGTGCTCTAATGTCCTCGTCAGAATGAATTTGATGGCCTATTTTGGTGTCATAGGCAAACTTGCTGATATAGCTCTTTATGCCCTCATCTATGTCGTTTATGTAGATTGTGAACAGCAGGGGACCCAACACTGACCCCTGTGGAACACCGCTCGTGACGCTTCCCCACTCTGATTTCTCCCCATTTATGCAAACTCTCTGCTGCCTATTTGTCAACCATGCCTCTATTCAGGAAAAAACTTCTCCTATTCCATGTGCCTTAATTTTCCTCAGTCTCTGATGTGGGACCCTGTCAAAAGCCTTACTGAAGTCCATATACACAATATCATATTCATTACCATGATCTACCTTCTCAAATACCTTAGTGAAAAAAGTTAATAAGTTCGTAAGGCAGGAACGCCCCTTTGTAAAACCATGCTGAGATTCGTTGATTAATTTATGCTTTTCAAGGTGGCTACGAACTGCCTCGGCAATTATTGATTCCATAAATTTTCCCACTATGGAGGTTAGGCTTATTGGTCTATAGTTCGAAGCTAAGGACCTGTCACCTGCTTTGAAAATAGGTATCACATTTTCCATTTTCCACTTATCTGGCACCATGCCAGTTTGTAGTGAAATGTTGAAAAGATTAGCCAAAGGTTTGCTAAGCTCCTCTTTACATTCCTTTAGAACCCTTGCATACAGTTCATCAGGGCCTGGGGATTTGTTAGGTTTTAATTCATCCATTTGCCTAAGGACCATGTCACTTGTGACCCTAATCGTGACCATTTTTGGGTTATCCTAGGTTCTCTACACATGCTGCTATGTATGATAATCTAGCTCAAAACATAGACTCCACAAAAGTCATTATTAGACCTTAGTGCAATTACAAGTGAGAGTCTTGTTCTATTTTTAATTTGTATTTTTATATTACTAGTTTATACCTAGTTGTACTTTAGTTCATTCCAGCACAACACACAGACAACATCAACTTCATTATGTGTATTAGTGACAAACCCAAAAGACCAAAATACTCTACTATATATTTCCAAACTTCCAACCATTTACAGATATCAGTAGTAGAACTCAAACACAAAACTCAGGATAAAAATAACCATAATTTTCAACCTAGAAGAGATTGACACGTTGACCCGATCAAAACCTCCATAATCTGACACCCAATAAAAACCCTATTGGAAAGTAACTCCCTTTTTAATTACAAAAGCATCAAAAAACCCCAAACCACTAACCAAAAAAAATGCTAAAAGTCATCAACTTAACTACAAAAAATCGGGTTTCCCTTAAGCAAAAACACAAATAAAGCCCTCCTGCACCCCCTTTGAATCACAAAAGACAACCCTTTTTCCC